GTTAAACCACTTTGTATTGTATATCAGCGTCGATATCTTTCTAGATGTTTCTAGCAAAACTTCTCTTGAATACTGATTGGATAAGATGTTTCTCAGAATTTCCAGAACCCCTTAAGGCTTTTTCCAAGTAATTTTCTGGATATCCCCAACCTAAACTTTCATTGAACTCACTATTAAAATTTCTTTTACTGTTTACATTTCACTTGTTCTATACGTGTTACTCAGAGTTATATCACAAACAACCTATTTTAGTAAAAATTGAGATTCATTAATAACTAGGCGTTTTGGTCCTGTATGTAATAATATGAGCTACTCTGCAGATTTTCATGTAATCAGTTAGTACAAGTAACGGATATTTTTATTCTGACTATCAATTTTCATTCAAAGATAAATTGAATTCCTTTTTTATAACTCATCCAGAAAGGCCTTGAGTTATGTAACGTTTATAATTTTGTTCATAAGTGGTAGTTAGTTAGGATCGAGGATGTCGATGATCACTATTAAAAATAATTCATTTTGCTCTATTAATTTTGCCCTGTTCTCTGATTGGTTACTTTCACTTGATGTTTGCTATTTTTTCACGTGATACCAAGGTCGTAGTTGTTGTTGTGTAGATCGAGTTGTTATCTTACATTTCAGATATCTGATGAATAATTTTTACTCAAATTAATATACATTAGGAAAATATGGCAAATCCATCAAAATTTTTTTTGCTTTTTATGTGTTAAATATATTGGATAATATTACCCTTAAATTAGGAAAGACATAGAATGAAATCAAATGAGCTCAAATGATATTTAGTTTATTTTAATGTGTAACTTGAAATGCAAGTTATAACTGGAATAAATAAAAACCAAAATTTAACTGCATAACATTTAAATAGGTATTTCATTGAATATTCTTGATTTTCACTGCTCGTAACATACAAAAAACTTGTAACTGAAAGGCTAAATCGGGGTCATTCGTGCAGGATGAACATTGATCAGTAGAGACAGATCAGTTTACAATCCTGAGAATTAATAATGAAAAATTATAAACACTTACTCATACATTCATACTCACTGAATAAATTATTGACCATCAAGGCTCAGTAGCTTGGTGGATAACGCTTGGATGTTTGAAGCAGTAGGTACTGCTTTATAGGTTAATTATGGACATCAACATACGGATGGTAGTATACCCAAATGATGAGTCTCAAATAGGGGAAAAGTATGTCCTGGATTCCAGTCCTAGATACCATCCAAATATACTACGCTTTAAAATAGTCCAGAAGAACTAATAAAGGCTAAATAATAGCAATATTAGTATCCGAAGGGGCTTTGTGGAGATTGTAGTAATTACAATAGTTGAGATCATGATTCAGTCGAAGCTAGATCACCATGAAAGACATGAAAGCATCGGACAGCCGTTTCGTCCTAGTGCGGAACTCTTCAGCAATGCGCATCCACGGTCCCGCCCCCCGCTGGATTCGAACCCAGGATCTACCAGTCTCGCGAGCGAGTGCTTAACCACCAGACCACTGATCCGGTCAGCATTCAACGGTGTTAATGTTTAACTTCAACTGATCCACGAAATTGAGCGACACACCCACCATTGTCTTCAGTGAGTTATTATCTCACAATTGACCCCGTTGAACTCCTCTGATCACTGCTTCTCACTAGAACTCCAGGATATACATCTTGAAGTGAGTCACTAGTGAGCATGTGTTGATTAATATGAGAAGGGGTTTTGTGGAGAATTTAGTAATTTCCATGGTTGAGATAGCCATATTCACAGCCAATAATCATGCTGATTATGATTGTCTAGACTATTTTTAAAATAAGGTGAAGTTAACCAATCATAGATCATAAATCCTATAGCAGCATTAAAGAGGTTAAAGGTCATGTATTAAATATAAATGTAAGGAAAGAATGCCACCAAGTCATGGAATTTATTTGTCACTGATAAATGCATATGGCCAGAGGGTTTATTGGTTGTTGTCGGAAATTGACCCTACCATTTTACCAAACTATATCCTCAGCAATCAATCTCAAGAGTATGAGTATTAGTGTATACACTGCCATGAGTTTGCATATCCATATGTGTTTTTGCGCTTATATTATTTAAAGTATCAATGATTAGAAATGGATTATTTAATCCATTTTGCTTACTAGGCGTTCACGGAAATCTCTTACAAAGTATCACTATTGGGTTTCATCCATTTGTTTCTTTTAATTTCAAATTATATATTTTATAGGTTGTTATTTTGACCTAAAGTATTGTCAGTAAGACTAAGCTGAACTCCACTGATAACGACTTCCTGAATTACTATTAGAGTTGAACTTTATAGAAACTTGTATTTTAAAGTTCACATCATAGACTTACCCCAGTGAGAGGTAACTAATGGATTTCTGTTGAGACCCAGTGGTCGGTGAAATACAATCACACTGACTATGCAGCAGTTGCTCAGCAATGCAACAAAGTTATCCAAACCATAGAAACGAAATGGTTTGGATAACTTTCGTATTTGAACTAATCGAGTGGTACTCAGCCGCGTAATTAGTTGTTTGATGCCTTAATTGTTTTAATTTAACTCGGAAATAATGACTAAATGGTTTCAAGAATTTCAAACTATTTAAGTCGTTAATTTGTTAGTCTGTTACTGACTTGTTTTTATTCAATATACTACCTATTTCAAATTTCATATCCTACTATTATAACGTTTAGCCTTTGGTATAATTTTATCTAGCATAAAAATACCTTGTGTGTCGTGGGAGTGTGAGGAGCAGTATCTGAAGGAATATAGAGGGGTAAAACCGAGAGAAAAAGTGAGCTAACAATTCAGTAAGCAAATATAATGTACTTACATCTAATAATGAAAGCAATCGACAACAATTAAAAGTAATACAAGCGTGAGATTATCACAACCTAATAATCAAAACTAGAAGTTCATAGTGTAAGGTTTCAAGTGAGTTACACCATTATATTTCAAAATTCTGTTTGTTCATCAGTTTAGTTGTACATGATGATCAAATTCATTTGTACTGACAAATAAAGATTAATTAACATTACATACGGGGAAAATACACAGAATTATTATAAAAACCCATGCTACATACCATGTTGAAGAAAGTTGATATTTAATTGGATGCAAAGAATAATATTTTGAATAAGCTTCACATGAAATAAAATCAATGTTTAACTGAACAAATACTGTACTGAAAATAAAGCAAATATTACAATGTACTTTTCATAGATTGAATTAAAAACTAAAATAATCTTGAACAGAAATTACGTGAACTCATCCTTTTTATCCCATCCTAACAATTAATCAGTTAGTACTTATACACCAGGTCAATACAATTCCGTATTCGGGATTGTCACAGTTTATTTGAAAAGTGTTTTGTTTTTAAACTGAGATGACTAAACTGGAGCTTATTACTTTATTAAGAGGCCACTTTCTAAGCTTAATGTATGAGGTAATATGGTAAATTCTTAATTTGAATACCTATATTAACCAGTAATTTGAAGTCTGAGTTTGTTTACTTTCCTAAATGAAGCTCTTATATTCATCATTATTCAGGGAAAAAACTTTTCTCCAAGACTGAACTGTAGATAGAACTTTCACAGTAAAAGTTACCAACGTCATATCCTTCGACTGGATTTTGAGCGATAGCAAAAGTTCAGTGTATCCAATCTAACGTATCCGGTAATTTCAATTACTAGCCATTTAATTGGACGAAACAGAATGAAAAAATTTGGAAAATGGGATGAAAAAACTTTTCGAAAGGGGGGGAAAAATTACAATGAATACTTATTGCTTTAAGATAGTTGTCAGTAATGAAGTACTTAAATTCATTCGACTACATTACATAGATATTAGTTGCATTCTTTTTACACTCAGTTAAAAAACATTTTGTTGCTAATCTTGCGTAAACTTACATTTTCTTTTTTTAATCCGGTTATTGGATGTGTCAATAATTTACCAAACAAAACTAGACAACCGTTGTTTAGGTTAATATGCAATACAATTCAATAAATCTTGTACATGAAAATACACTATTGAGTTATAATATATTATCTCTTCTATTTAAAACAACAATTATTTGTGATTAACATGTGAAATGCAATCAAGTAAACTTATTTGATCTTGTTACACAAACAAATTGTTTTTATTAATTGAAATCATGAATTAATTGAAGCTAGACCACCATGGAAAACCTGGAAGCACTGGACGGCCGTTTCGTCCTAGTATGGGATTCCTGGGTTCGAATCCCGCGGGGGGGGGCTGGATCGTGGATGTGCACTTCTGAGGAGTCCCATACTAGGTCGAAACGGTCGTCCAGTGCTTCCAGGCTTTCCATGGTGGTCTAGCTTCAATTGATTCATGATTTCAACTATTGAAATTACCAATTCTCCACAAAACCCTTTCTAGTAATAACCGTCTGCTCATTAGTGACTGACTTCAAGAGATACTCCTGGAGTTCTAGTGAGAAGCCGTCACCAGTGGAGTTCAACCAGGTCTCTTGTGAGATAGTAACTCACTGAAGACAATGGTGACGGTGGCTCAACTTCATGGATTGGGTGAAGTTAGATATTAACACCGTTGGATGCCGGCTCAGTGGTCTAGTTGGTTAAGCGCGTGGCGCGAGACTGGTAGGTCCTGGGTTCGAATCCAGCGAGGGGCTGGATCGTGGATGTGCACTTCTGAGGAGTTCCATACTAGGACGAAACGGCCGTCCAGTGCTTCCAGGCTTTCCATGGAGGTCTAGCTTCAATTGATTCATGATTTCAACTATTGAAATTAACAATTCTACACAAAATCCCTTCTTGAAATTGTTTTTATTATAACTTGTGCCCTGTGTCCTATTAATGTATAAATTAATGATACCGCAAATTAGAGAACAGTGAATTTTCGACTGGGCAAATTTCGCATAAAACGTGTACGAGAAGTCTAGAGTCCTTATCGGTCCTGCTTCCCACCTAGCCCTACCTGTTAAGTCCAGAACACCAATTTTAGACTCTGCGATATGAATAATTTATTTCAAACATACTGGGTTTATATACGAACCGAACAGACCACATCGTACCATAAAATAGGAAACAACATTTGTGCAAGATTTAGCCAAATGTAGCTGTGAATAAGGGAGATAGTAATTGATGAACTGGGCATAACTCAAGAATGGTAAATCATATAATAATAGTTCATAGGTCAAAACAAAGCTTATGATAAGAGGAACACGAATATGAATAGTTTAGTTATTTAATAATTATACGATAAAAATATACGTATATTATTAATATAGAAATAGATCCCAACAGTTACCATTCATTATTCTCCTCGGGATATAACAGTTCTATATTTTCCAATCTTAGTCTTTGTAAAATAAAATCACTCATCTAAAATTCCTAAATAAGAAATTTCAAATTAGATTTATTATTAAAATTGTGAAACCTGAAGTAGGGAATGAACATTTAACACCTATTTGTATATTTGTTGTGTATAATCACTAATCGGCTGATATTAGGACAGTTGACATGTGACTAACAAGAAGGAAAATATGCCAACAACTGTGATATTTACGTGTGAGTTTTTCAGTTTGGAACGATTCTTTAGAAAATGAAATGAACTATTTAAACAGTTGGAGAATTACTTACTTACGCCTGTTATCCCTCGTGGAGGAAATATTGTGCCGTCTATAACCAATTTGTTGAATGCACATAGGTTTACAAATCTCTCCCCAGTAAGCTCTCAAAATTGTGTATACAGCTTGCTAATATTTATTCATAATCTCGAAATAGAGTTATATAACTTTATTAACTTGTTTAATCATTTAGCATTTACAATTGATTGATGGTCAATGGTGATCAATGTCATATTTGTCAGATCCTTCTTAGTGCAAATCGAATCCTATCGACCAAATCACAATGAGGCCACTAGTCTAGGTGATTCAACATTGCGTGCACTATGTTGATATAAGATGGTGGTACACCTTGCTGACGAGTATCGAGTAGCACAAAACCTAGGTCCAGGGTTTCCTGTTGACTACCTCCAACCACCATCTTAAATTACTTATCATTCCAAGACAATTTGAAATAAAAATGGAAAATCAATCACTTAAAAAATAAATGCGATAAAAGGAAGGTCGTCATTACTACTCACGTATTAATAAAACATTATTGGTAGAAAATGTTTAGATTTTATCATGACACTTACCCATATCGATAAATATTGTTATTCGTAACCATGCGATGACGTCAGGACCTGATTAACGTATCAGATAAGTAATAAAAATCAATGTTATCGTGTTTACAGTTAACTGAGTCTATAATAAAATGAGTGTATTCCTAGTAAAACCAACCTATGATATCAAATACGTTGAGTGGAAACATTATGCATCAATATATAAGAATAAAAGATGATTTATAATACAATTTATAAATTTAGATAATATATACATGATCTGCATCAAAGATTTATAAATGTTAACAAAGCCTTTAAGAAGATAGAGGTGTTTATCACAGGTTCCACTGAATGTTAGTATACATTTGCCGATAAAAAATTTCTAGCTTGTTCAGAATACACTTACATGTTCATGTTATTTTTCCTCAATTATGATGCTTCATGTTTCATTATTGATTTGTAAAAATGTCGATTTACGAAAAGTACATGTTAAGCATTATGCTTTCCTTAAGCACAGTTTCAAATCCACTCTGGTGGAATAAATAATGTAATGATAATGATCGTTAAGAGCTCAAGTGAATGATTTGTTTGGCGTTTCTGAGTTCTCCATGTCAGACAATATAATCAGAAGTAATGATAGCTCAGCAATTAAAAAATCTTCACTAGAAAATTTAACAAGTTTGGTACATTCGTGGTTCATGAGTTCAAGAATTGTTAGATATCCACATCCTTCTGTAAATCGCTTAAATTTAAAGAAGTTACCCAGAATTATGTTTAGAGTTTTAAAAGCTTCTCGTAATGATCTAGTAACTAACTCCATGGTGTTGTTCATTAGTCTAAGTCATCAAGCGATAAATTTATTACTAAGCTTAGTATTTCCTTTAAACTTCAAGAATTTCAAGAACATTAGGAATTCTTTGAAAGTGGTATATTCACATTTCCATACTTTTAATTTCATCAAAGATTGTATAAGTCTAGAGATTAACTTATAATTCAGTATCTCATATCTTTAATGCACAGAATTTGATTAAAATTCATCACGTAAAAATTTATCACAAGAATATTATTAATATTCACAGTTCATGTATTAGATCAATCATAGTCAAGGGTAATTTAACGGGAATTTCATTAACTCAAAAGACCTTGTCCTTGGACCAGAACGATGAGTAATCAGGTTAAATAAAATAATGTACTTTTTTATACTGAGTTTGTATATCCAATTAGCTGATGACAAAGAAATTTAATGACCAGATTAATTTTGTATAGAAATTGATGTAAATTTTACATACATACATATTCGTGTTTGCTCTAAGAAGGCTTTAAATTACCTAATTTCTTTACTGTTATTAATAACCTGAATTTCTAGTAAACAAACATATCTATTTAACGAAAAACTCCAGTTATGATCATGTTTTACATACTAACCATTGTATTTTTCAGTTTCAAGATCATCTCCTAACATGGTTGTAAAATATGTCAAATACGATTTCTTGTGTTCAATAGTATATGACTTAATAATTTAGCAGAAACCGTTAATATTCAATCTAACTCAAACGCTCTTTATTCCGATCACATTTAAAATGTTATCATAAAAAATATATTTAGTAGATTTACTGATTTCAACATAGCTTACTGAATATAAGAATATAATATGATATTTCCATAAGCTTAATAGTCTTGTGTATTTCAAATAGCTGATTATCATGTTCTTTTATCAGAAGTTCAGAAATAATCTTCGGTAAAATTTCGTAAGGTTTGATTTTCAATTCAACATAACTACAGCCCACAAGTGATTCTATCGAAGACCTGTAAGAAATAAAGAATACCAAAAATATTTTGGCATTGTTAATCAAACCCATAGCTATAAATACGAAAGACTATATCATGGCAATCCTCTCAGGATTTACGTATGCAAACAGAGGTTGATTAGTTGTTAATTAAGTGTTTGAACTAAAATATGACATATTAATTGTTTCAGGTAATTAATATTCATAGCGTCCAATGACGAAATATAATTGTTTATCATTATTGTACAATAGTAGCTTCAGATCATTCCCGAACGTTAGTTTTATTTAATAAGTTTATGCCACTACACAATTTTGACTACGCGAAAATCTATCATAATAGTTATCTGATTTCTTACTAATTCAGCTTACTGTAATTTTCAGTTGAAGTCCTTGATGTTATTACACTTACAGAAATGCCACATTGAATTCCGTATAAGAAAACATTCGTTGAATCTGTGTTTCGAGATACTGTAGTGCCTAATACACCACAAAGTAGTACTTCATAAACGCCAAAATATCCTTTGTTTTAGTGACAAAACCCATATCATTACATACAAGCTTAACCAATCAAATGGAAGTTTGTAGGTCAAGTTAATACACGAAAATGATTCGTTCATGCTATCAAAAGGTAATAACAGACTATTATGATTGGCTGAGAGTTTATTTCAAGGTTGTTCCTTTACACGTGCTGCCCACGCCAAACGAATAAACAGTGTTAGGATCTTAGCTTGCATGTGGACCAAACAGCTCACCCAGAAGTTAGTCGATGTTTTGTTTTGTATATTTTGTGATTCAGGTTACTTCTGAATTGTCCTCTATCCGATTTTGAATATGTTTTTGTTTGTGTGAAATTTTGCACAAGATTTACTTGAATACGTTCCTAGTCGGAAACTTACAATTAGTACGTGCACTTAATGGCAAACTATTTGAATGATTGAAAACACAATTTCTGAACGAACCAATAAAGTTAACGATATCAAGTCTTGGATTTTGGCGTGAAGTCGATTTATCTGTATGGCAATATAGTATTTCGACATTAACTGTGATTCCTGACCTAATTCCTCACCAACTTATAACTCTTTTGACCCTAGTAAATGAGTTTTCTCAAGGTCACCTTGGGATGTCGTCCATAAATTGTGTTCCGACCCACTTTCATTTAGAATTATGTTAGTTCGTTTTCTAGTATGATGTGACATTCAGGAATTTCACCTTACGTTGAATGTAGTAATATACGCTTATTTTAACATTTATTTTATTCCTACCAACACAGTTGTATTAGGAGAATGGGAGTTCGTGCAGGTTGTAGCAGTCCATCTAATCTAGACCACCACTGAAAACCTGTAAGCACTGGACGACCGTTACGTACCAACCTGAGACTCCTCAGCAGTGCGCATCCACAATCCAACACGTGGGGCTCGAACATAGGACCTTCAGTCTCTTGAGCGAACGCTTTAATCGATCCATTGTCTTGATGCTAGGCGTTGACACCGTTGGATGCCGGCTCAGTCGTATAGGGGCTAGGCGTCCGCGCGTGAGACCGAAGGTCCTATGCTCGGTTCTCACGTATGGGGTCGTGGATGCGTAGTGCTGAGGAGTCCCAAGCTAGAACGAAGTGACCGTCCAGTGCTTACAGGTTTTCAATGATGGTCTAGCTTAGACCGACTCATGAATTCAACAACTGTATTGATAGAATTCTTTGTTTTATTAGTTGTATAATGTGTTACTGAATAAAAACAATTAGCTGAAATACTATTATTGTCATAGGTTTATTAGTAAACATTAATAGCCATTTGATGAACTTATTAATAAGTGGTCGGTTGCGAAATTTTACATTCATACCCAATCAGAAGATTCAGTAAGTGATGAAAGATACTGTTTTCTTGGAAAAACACATACTTATTGTATTTATTTAAACACAAACATTGATACAAGGAGGCACCAAATAGTTATGCGCCACAAATCATTCGATTTGTGTGAAGGCTGGGATACTACCTGAGTGCTCAAACCGAAGCAGGTGGTTTCCTTAGGAGGCCACACCCAGAGCCTTTGATCTAAAGGTCTGATCCACAAGGTGGTGGAGCAACGTTAGAAGATGCAGTCCCATGGTAGCTGATGACCAACTATAGGTTCATACGCCATTTGTTTCCTTAGAATCCTGGAGCCGATGTGCACCACTGGCTTGGAATCAGGGTTTCTCAACTCCCCTAAGCGGATCCTCTATACCCACCAACCTGGTTAAAGCGCCGGAAATTCGCTTTTCGTTCTCTCAATTTTATAAAAAACCACCGCCATGAAATGGCAGTGAGTCGAACTTTCCAGACAGTGGTTGTATATGAGTGGCCATGTAAAAGCATTGCGAGGGAGAGAGCGGACTTGATCGTACCAGGACATTTGGTGGCTGAAAATGCACTATAATCTGTTGGTTTTTATTTCTGTGCAAAAGTACTATTTCTCCGCTGATGAGTTAGTTGCACTCACATACTGTACTAAATTCGTACCCATAAATATACGTATCATATTTTCCTGTATCATCATCATGAAGCATGCCAGGATCATATTGGAAGTAATATCATGATTTGTTTTTTATTTGTAACCTCTGACAGATCTTTATGTATCTGTCAAAGTAGATTTTCACCATTCTACTTTCAAAGTGATGTCGTCTGAATTTATTTGCAGGATTGATACTAACTTGTGGTTTGTTTCACTAAAGTAACTGTGAGTGACTTTTATTTCATCATGTCATTTTACACTGGAATTTTCAGCAGCTTTCACATCAAAATTAGTATATAACAATAACATTTTCAAAATAGGTTGTTTGTCCACACATTAATATAAAACTGTCTGCATCTGTGTTTGTCTAATATTTGTCCAACCACCTCAGTTTAGGCAAGGTTTTAATATGAAAGATGATCAAGATTGGGAAAATATTAGGCAGTTGATTCTCATCTCCATAAAGAAATCAAGTTGAATAAAAAAGTCTTGTCATCTGTCCCACAAATAGTTGTTACGTTCACACATATGACCCTGAAACAATCTATACGCTGCTCACCGATAAAACGTCTTCATTATTTTAACAGCTTTCCAGTCTATCAATATTCGATTCCATTAAATATACAAGTGAAGTCTACAGGTCATGTCTTAAATTCTGAAATATTATTTTAAAGGTATCTGAAGGTGTAAATTTCTACCTGTTTGTCACATTATCTCAACCATTGGATTGACCGGGAAACTAAACATATCTTACCGCAGTATATCTACAAAACAAATAATATCAAGCTTATCAAAATCCTATCATTTTTGGCTTACACACCTATCCACTTGATAGTGACCTAGAAAAATAATATCGATTGACTCGAAATGTGATCGCTATATATATATATATATATATATATATATATATATATATATATATATATATATATATATCAAATAGTTCATTTACCATATAAGAAAAATAAAATTTTCTGAACTAAAGTGCACATAGATAAAGTAACTCAGATTAATTTTATGAGTCCTAATCAATATTTTTACTTTGTTATCAATGATTGAGTCGTTCATCTCATGTTATGTATTTTAACCACGGACTAAATGTTCTATGTCTCATATTTTTAAATTTTCCTACTGCTTTAGTCAGTAAAAAGAGTGGTTTTGTTTACCTACTTCAAAAGTTTCTAAAACGTTTCTTCTCAACTTCCGTTTATTATTTAATTTTGTCCAATTCTTGCCTCCTAAAAACCATAGATAGGGAAGAAAAGATCTGTTGTATTGTAATTTTGTTATATGGTACAACTGACGAGTTTCAAAACTCAAGAACCTATGTAGTTGTGAGTTATATTACGAGTTTATAAATATGGCTTAATGACTCCAAAATCAGTACACTAATATACGTGGACATTCACACAAGTAACGCATTTTCCAAATCGATCGGTGGGGATGAATTAGTGGTAAAGACATTCGACTTTCAAGCTATCACGTCCGAAATTCGAACCCCACCTCATCCACTTCTGTTTGGGTAATCAGGTAGTATCACTGACCATCACACTTAGAGTGCAGTTCATGTTCAAGTAATTGATGAATGAATTGATTTATTTCTATTCCTTCATGGCAGCCCTTAAATCCGAATTTGTAATGTGCTAAAACATCTACGAACTTACCCTTCACTCCCAGTTATACCTGCCTGTTTACCAATAGATATTAAGAACAAATGCCGAAGGTGATAAGTTTGAGCGGCACGGCTGTTTGAGAATGATTCCAAAAGACATCACATTCAGTAACACTTTTCCTATAGCAGTCACTTAGCTACTTAAGAGCATGTTGATCACAATGTTTCTGGCGACGATAAGGCACTGATATGTTAAAAAGACAGAATTCTCTTATCTTTGAGCAAACCCTTGATATCAACCAATTAAATTTAAACATCGAACTTCTGTTTCCAGTTTTTTGGGAACGCTCTCGTTATCCTCGGCCTTATCAGTACATTTGAGGAATAGGCAAAACATCTTAGATTTCCGCGAACAGCTAAAAGTCGACTATTTGTAAAATGTTACTTTCTGAAGCTCTAACTTAAGAAAAATAGATGTCATAATATTCTGTACATGGTATTATCGAAGGCTCTTAAAATAGCAACACTTTTTATCAATTGGTTATAATTGTTCGAGCAGAATCACTTAGTTGTATTATTTTTATTGAAATACATCAGTTCAGATGTCCATATGAGGCTAACTGCACAAACCATGGTACTGGCCAGCCTAACGAGTCAACTGGGATCTCCGTAGCCTAGAGAAGAATAAATTAAGTCGACTTATTATTTAATTTTACCCAGTTTGGTCAATAATGGTAGACTAGAGGAAAGGATTTGGTGTTATTTACTGTATTCCATTGTAAATTAATGGGATACAAAATCTTTTCCCCATAGCTGAACCTAGATTTATCTACATATGCATTACGTCTTTTCTATTGGTTTTGTAATCTTGATTGCTTTTTTACGTTTTGGTTTTTATCATATGCTAAATTTTGTTTGTTTTATCATGTTTACCTTTATTACTTTTGCTGGTAACATTACATTTTTCATTGTACTGTTGTTTATTTATTAAGTGTTTTTCCTTACCCTACACTTTTTTTTATAATTCAACTTACAAATCGGCATAAATAGCTCACTATTTTCTATAAATTTATTCATAGTTATGCCTAGTAGAAAGATTTTGAAAAGCATTTAGTCGTCGAAAAACAGTTGTTCATTTATTCTCCTTGTTTCGTAATTCAGCAGTTAAAATGTGATACCAATAAATTTTATTTGATATTTGTTTGGAGTAAAAAGACCTTGTAGAGACAGAAAGTGATGGGATTGAGATAACTGCACTATAGGATATTTACTAATGATATATTTGTGTATTCGTGAAGTTTCCTCTTTGTATATGCTTTGCATACGCTTATTCTTCCTTGAATTTTTAAAGTACTTTCCAAAACTGGTGAAACAACAGTGAAATGTTGGAAGCTGAGAAATATGAACAATCGTCATCACCGTCATCAGTATGTGATCTTACCGATAGCGAGAATTGTGGGATAGATGCAATTCAGGTTTGTGTTTACCTTGGAAGTTATATTAAACCATTTTAAATGATTATCTATTGTTAAATTTCATTGTTTCCAAACTATGACTTTTGCTATATCTTTATTAGTTTAAGAGTTTTTGAGATTTATGATCTTGGTTAACCATTACAAATGGTATTCGTCACAGATATTCTCTGTTGCTATTTACAGTAATGTAACTAATGTGTCAAGTTTAGGTATATGTACTCGGCCTTGGGTCACGCTATTGATAAGAAGGCTGGTGAAACTGTCCAAACCAATGTATTTAGGAAGTTTTAAACATATAACAAATTGGTTGAAAGCCAGCTTCTCTAGTCACTAAGCCACAGCTCCAACACCATTCTCAACGGTCTGCTATAAACGTGTTATTGGTGATAATATTTCTTGATTTCTACTTATTGAATCGATTTCCAGCTGTTTGACAAAACTAAAATGCATGAGTTGCATCATGCTGTTGCTTGAAGACACTGACTAGACTGAACATTTTCCAAAAAATTTGAGCAAATTTTAAAAAAATGTTCAACTTGCGTTTTCAATCTGTAAAGTGAGCGGTCGATAGTTTTTTATCCAGATGTCTAATCTAAAAGTAAGAAGTTAGACCGTTGAAGATTTGCATTGAAAGAGCCAGTTTTCCATTGTTTGTAATAATATATATATACGAGGACTTGTAAATCATGGGACAGTGTATTCAGTTTACGTCCTAATTAACATGCCCTGCTTCTTGTTTGAACAATCCTGATTATTTCAGTCTTTGACTATTCTGATGTCATATGCATAAGGTTATTGTATTATCCAACCATTGTCAGGGATGTGAAGGCTGCTGAAAATTCCAGTGTAAAATGACATGATGAAATAAAAGTCACTCACAGTTACTTTAGTGAAACAAACCACAAGTTAGTATCAATCCTGCAAATAAATTCAGACGACATCACTTTGAAAGTAGAATGGTGAAAATCTACTTTGACAGATACATAAAGATCTGTCAGAGGTTACAAATAAAAAACAAATCATGATATTACTTCCAATATGATCCTGGCATGCTTCATGATGATGATACAGGAAAATATGATACGTATATTTATGGGTACGAATTTATTACAGTATGTGAGTGCAACTAACTCATCACAACAGATTATAGTGCATTTTCAGCCACCAAATGTCCTGGTACGATCAAGTCCGCTCTCCCCCTCGCAATGCTTTTACATGGCCACTCATATACAACCACTGTCTGGAAAGTTCGACTCACTGCCATTTCATGGCGGTGGTTTTTTATAAAATTGAGAGAACGAAAAGCGAATTACCGGCGCTTTAACCAGGTTGGTGGGTATAGAGGATCCGCTTAGGGGAGTTGGGAAACCCTGATTCCAAGCCAGTGGTGCACATCGGCTCCAGGATTCTAAGGAAACAAATGGCGTATGAACCTATAGTTGGTCATCAGCTACCATGGGACTGCATCTTCTAACGTTGCTCCACCACTTTGTGGATCAGACCTTTAGATCAAAGGCTCTGGGTGTGGCCTACTAAGGAAACCACCTGCTTCGGTTTGAGCACTCAGGTAGTATCCCAGCCTTCACACAAATCGAATGATTTGTGGCGCATAACTATTTGGTGCCTCCTTGTATCAATGTTTGTGTTTAAATAAATACAATAAATAAATAAATAAATAAATAAATATTGTATTATCCAGTGTCATGTGACGATCTAATATTAGGTCAGTCTATTGAACTCATTTTGATTGTCTAGCGAACAGAGTAAAGCTCAATATTTTGTACATGATTATTAAAGTTGTCTCCTGATTTATACACTCAAATATTTTCTATTTATTTTAACATTCTGTAATTGTACTATTCACTTTTCCTTGTATTGGCTGTTTACGTTATCACTATTGAAAACATCAAACGGCAATATTCATCACAGAAATCTTCCAACATTAAAGATTCTGTTGGCTGTTCGTCTTCAATTATTCCAGATGAAGTTTCTTCACGTTTTATACCCATAGGATCTTTTCTTTCATCAATACTTGAACCTATTCCACAAGGTCAGGAATTAGCAGTCGGTTCGATGGCTACTTCCACAGGTGTGTTAATAGTTTGTTCTCTAAGGAAAAGAATTATATGTACCATTAGATACCCTAATTGATAATCTGAGTTTGTTATTGTTGGCCTAATGCATAAATTATAATTTCTATTGATAATTGACATGTCGTTTTTCCTCTTTATTGTATGATTAATTTTCCAATGAATTTAGTGGTTGCGAATAAGTGCTTATTGTAAATGATAATCGATTATTTGTTTTAATGCACTATAATAGCCTTTTTTGAATGATCACTTAAACAAGTATATACTTATTACGTCAATTTGTCAACAATAATTACCTGATTAAATGAATCAAAAAAGACAAACAGAGTTAACTATCAGTCACTTATCATCTTTTCTTTTTATTCGTTCACTTTTAAATGCCATAAACTTTTATTTCTTGATGCAGCTTAAAAATTCTTAGATTACGTTTACTGAATATGCGTCAAATCTAACTTTGTAATAAGAATAATAAAGGATTACTTTCAACGTTGGAATATATTCTGTGAAAATAATGAAAAACAGTATTGTAGGTTATACACATTTGGAACAGATTCACTAGACAATGGGATATTTGATGTGCATAAAAAAGCCAATCTATTGATTTCATCCGAAATTTGCATGTTGTAGCATATAACGCTAACTTGTAATTGTGCTTGGTGGATTTAAATAACTGGTTACTGGTGCAAAAAGATACATTATAGGATGATTTTTTTCTTTTTCTTATCCTTATTAAACAGTTTACATTCATCCTTCTATACACTCAATTCAAATTAATTCTTTTTTAGATGAATCAAAATTCACCGTACAAAATTATCATTCCTCTTCTAATCATCATACAACAACACAATTGAAAAATGAAGTCTGTTGCCCTTGTCGTTTAACCAATTTTCGTGTAAGACAACAAAGAAATTATCCGCGGGACACAGGACAAACATGCAATTCTATAACACCAGTAACAACTAATATAACAGAGACAATCACGAAGCAAACTATTGTAAGTTTTAGTTTTCAAAATTCATATTATTTTAATGAATTTTCGGTACTGTGAACGACTTTGTATGTGTGTGTTCACGCATTTATAATAATCTGTTATTATTCGTCATACCAATCATATGTGAAATAACAGGTACATGGTTGGATAATTAAAAAACAGTTATCTGATCTTTTGAGGAGAGAATGTAGATCATATTTTAAATGCAATTTTATTAATAGATAAGGCGATAAACTATAACGCAAGAAAAATTCTTGTTAACTTTTCAACGCATTAAAATGTTGTATGTTAGTAACTTAGATAAAAGTCTTGATAACTTTTAAAATGTGATTTCTATCCACTATAGTGTTAATCACAAGCTTTTACATCAAGCCACACAGTAGGGTAAAAACTTTGGTAAACTTCATTTATGTGAACGAACTTGAAGGACTCTTAAAATGACCTTAAGAAACCCTTGATCACAGTCAAGTACTCAGAAAGCAACGAATGTGATGAATGATTTATGTTGTAAAATGAAGGAAATTACTAAGCCTTTATTAGTTTTTGCTTATTATTGAACTTCTCTAGATTTGTTTACGTTCATTTGACTTGGATTCAACATTGCTTGTATTAAGTAACCCTAACCTTATTAAACATTGCGACAAAATATCACTAGATTTATTTATTTATTTGAACACATAAATATTGGTACGTAGGGACACCGAATAGATATGCGCTACATAAGTCACTTGATTTGTATGTGGGCTGTGATACTGCCGTGGTAGTGAGACTGAAGCAGGTGGTTTACATAGGAGGCCACACCCAGAGCCTTAGATCTAAAGGTCTGGCCCACAAGGTAGTGGAGCAGTGTTGGGAGATGCAGTCCCATGGTAGCCAGTGACCAACAATCCGTTCATACACCCTTTATTCTTTCAGGATCCTAGAGCCCATGAGTACTATTAGTTGAGGTTTTCTAACTCTCCTAAGTGGATCCTCCGTGTCCACCAACCCGGTTGAAGCACCGAACATTCGCAATGGCACTGGCTGTGTACGTGTCGCCCTGTGAGAGCATTTCGAGGAGAGCGACCTCCCCACCCCGACTGTACTAGTGCATTTGGAGGCAATATCACCAGACTTCATATTTGGTTTAGATTTAATCATATTCAAGCGACAGATAGGTATTTTCCTTAGCAATCCAACTTCTTGTAAGTATTTAATTATGCTTTTCACTGAAGCTAGTCATTTTACAGTCGATAATCAACATTCTGTTGTTTAATTAAAGTCTGTGTTATGGCATTAGCATAAATTTTTTCATAGGTGAAGGCTCACATACCAATTTTAATACTTACATAAAGACGTATTAACTAAATACCTGTATTTTTTCTATTTTTTGCATATAAATAACAATATAGAATATTTACATACTAACTTAAGCCCGCTGTGCATAATCGGGCATACCATCAAAAATACCTGTTTTTACTATCTTTATGCAGCAATGTATAACAGCTAGTGATCTATGAACCTCAAGATATTTATTTGATTTTATGATTTTCTCATTCTAGTGTTATTCATTTATCGACTGCACAAGTTAATGTATTCCGCTTTGATCCACACCTTGGTTGTTTGAAAATCAGTAATAATAACCAACTGCCTGAACTCAAGGAGAGTGAATTCCGGACCCTATGACTAATCATTTAAAGGTTCAATGCTCTAACCAGTAAATAACCACTCCAAGTTGTATATTCATCTATCTTGTATAAAATCCATTTGACAGTTAACATCATATTGTCATCCCTTCATAATCATTTATATAGAAATTTCAGAATCAACGTTTGCGTCGAGATTCTGTTTTGTTCTGATATTTAAAATGAAGATAAAATTAATATCAGATATACATGCAAACGTACTAAACCGTGTAACATATTTACTGGAATTGTGTACTTTTATTACAAACCTGTAGACGAAGTCAACGCAAATCACACTAGATACTAAACATGTACTTAACTATCTCATGTGATTTGTAGTTAGAGGAGACTTGACTTTTTCTATACTCTGAAATAATTAGTTGTTTTTTTTCTCTACATTAAATTAATAGATGAGATGTGAATTTCTCACTGTTTTTGTGTTCTTCGTTGGTAGGTACAATAGTTAAATATTCTGTTTTCCTTCTGTATGTTTGATCACTCGCTTTATGCTTCTCATTGCTATTGTAATTATCATAGTACGAAGCCTTATTATTCACCTTAATTACAACTGTTCTGAAAGCTTGATATCTTTAGTTTAAATTTCTTAAAAAACTTTTCTCTCCTTCGTCTTACTCGTTTGAATTAAAATTACTAAGTATTTATTCTTTAGTTAGACTATTATGTGTGAATCAGTCAGTTAGAATTGAGGAAATCTCCTCTTGAGTTTTTGCATGAAGTTCAAAGATGAATAACTGTTATCTTAGATCACGTGAAAAGTCGATTAGAAATATATTTGGGTGATGATCAAAACATTTAAAGCAAATTTGTTATATGTTCATTAAATAGTAGACGATCCAGTGAAGTTTGAGTAAAAAGATAGATGACCATCTCCATGCATGAATTCCGTATATCGACATAGAGATATAATTCAGTTTTCTTTGCTCTTAAACAAGTTGATTGGTACAGAGTTCTTAGAGGGGATGATGAATTTTCTATGAAACTACTTATGATTATAAGGAAGATTCAAAAAGAAACCTTAAGAGTGATTATTTACATACAGATTCGTGAGGTCATATAGTGATATTTTCACAGTATTTAGATTACATAATTGTCAACAAGCCTTTAGAAAAATACTAATCAACTACCTAAAACTGCCAGACTCTATAGGTATCATCACTCCTATTACGAAACATTTTCGATTTGTATATATTCTGCTCATTGGCTGAAAAGTGATTAAAAATTACTGGGTCGTTTTAATTTTGGTGTTGGCTGATCTACATATTTTAGTTTAACCCTTTTTTTGTTGGACTGTTGGTGTATACTTTGATATTTGTCAAAAATTATTCTTTATAGTGGGCATTTCTGTTTTGCCAATGTATCCTTAATGAAGGCGAACAATGTCGGTAGTGAAATTTCCAATTTTCTGTTCTATCAGTGCATTAACTTCACTATGTAATGATGATATACTTCGTGATTTAGTTAACATTTCTATACTACTAGATCACCTAATTTGTAGAATGTCAATATCAAGCTAGTGGACTAATCGTTAAAGCGTGTAGATTTTAATCACTAGGTAACAGGTTCAAATACACACTCCACCTACTTTTGTTTCGGGCAATCAGGTGATCACTAAGCTTCAAACAAAATATAAGTCAAAATGAAGTACATGAGTATTGACTTGGTCATTCAGTTATATCAATGATTTAACTAATTGACCGAAAGCATAATCATTATCTGACAAGTGCCAAATCGTTTCCATTTATCCGTGAGGCTTACTAGGACAGCTGAATATTTTCAGTTTATGGATAATTTAGCTTATCACATGAAAATACTTATTATGCATTGTTATCAACTTCGTTTCATAAATTTTATGAAAAGAGTTTATTGATTGATTTATGACCTTGTATTTTAGCAGCTGATCACAATTGTAAATATGCTGTATTATAGATTTCTTCAGTTTAATATTAGGCTTACTACACGTCTTGCGTAAACTGAAATTAGTCTGTTCAATTTCTTAAGATTGGAAACATGGAGCGATGTAGCAGAATGGTTAGTTTTCATCTAATTGTGATAGGTGGGTGTGGTCTTTTTTGTTGTCATTCTCTCCAAAATCTCATTACTAGCTACAAGAAAGTAAGGATTTTTATTCGTTGATGAAATTACTAGCTTTTCTGCTTGCCATATATCATGTTGGGTCTAGGCAAAATACATGCATTTTCTCGGTTTTGACATTCAATTTTAATCTGTTGAGTTTTGGGAGCAATAAACTGTTCCATTTACCAAGTTTACAGCATTCACATAGATATCATCGACTTAAATAAGATAATAACTGAAGACCCAATGTATTAGGTTTTAGTCATAAAAGCTCCGTTCGATTAATCTGTCAATGGGAAACGTTTTTTCAAACTTATGGGAAATTATTCAATTTTAAAAATCACGTTAACTGGTTGCAAAGAAAAATGCTTCTAGAAAGCGTTTACTTTCTATACCGATTAGCACCATAAGATGTGTTCATCGTTTTCGATGAGATCTAATTAAAAATAACATTGTTCGTGTATATATGTGCTGTTCTAATTTTCTTCAACTCAACAATTTTCATCTAATATTTCTTCATCTTGCATTAAATTATCCATAAAGTTGGTGCATATTTATGTAAACCTTTCAGTTCTAGTAAGAAAATTGTTTCCTACTGTTGTCGGTAAAGCTAAACTATACTCAAGGCCTTGAAGTGACGACCAATCCTGGTGAAAATAGCGGTTTTTTTAGGCGCAATCACGGATAGCCTAATACCAGAAACCATGTTTTTTTTACTAGATTTCGTATTTTGGCTAATTAAGATGATTATATGGTCGTCGATGACTTGCAGAACTTCGGACTTTTGAGAAATAATATCTTATATGACTATGGACAGAAAATGACATACAGAGAAGATATAATTTTCAGAGATGGGGTTATTTTATAACACACTTCATGTTGAGCAAAGACGTCTATGGGAAACGCCTGTTTTGAATGATCGACTTTATAAATCGTTTACATAACCTGTATTATGATTGTTAGGGTTCGTATGTAAGAGTTACGGTATTTGGGTTACCATTTTCCCGCAATATTCAATTCATTTGCAACTGCTGCATCCTGGCTAACATTTAATTGGTTAATCTCAAAAATCTGTGAATGTCGTCAGTAAAGTTCTATTCTATTCACCCTAAATAGGACTCCTTTTTTACTTTTAATTCAGTATTTTAAGTGAATTTCCAAACTGTGTATTCGCTAGCTAGTAAATAATAGTTTTATAATTATCAGTTACATCCATTCCCTGAATGAAAGATGGTTTTATTGTGATTATTAATAACTCAGAATACCGGGAATAACACAGATTTAGATCATCAGCGGGTTGTGGACAAAACGAAACTGAAGATAAACGAGCACTGGACAAATATTTTAACAACGTGGAATACAGCCTTCCTTCGATTTACTGACAAACTTAATGAATTCAAAATAGATCTCAGTAACAGTTTCTAAGCCTTATAAGATTTACTATCCAGCTATTAACACAAACTGGAGTACCATTGGAAATTAGAAAGCGTTGCAAAGTTGTTTATTCTTGTTTGATGCCGATGATATGCATACAATTATTGTTGGCTGATTGCTATCTCGTTAATTGACCGACGATTGATCGCAAATTATTAATGTAGCAATCTGAAGTTTCTAGGCTCAATTCGTATCAAGGTCGTGTTCAGTTTTCTCTGGTTTTCATTGGTATTTATCGATCGAACGATAAAACCCATCTACAAACAATTTATTTTTATTCATCAAGCCTATTTGTTGTTTTCTTTTAAATAGTCGTACCCTAAGTATTTCTCTTCTTAGCGCAGATGACATTTTCAATTAATTGTGTCAAATAGTCCAGGGTTTATTTTGATTATTAATGTGAATTTGTTTACTTACTATGTGACTCATATACCTTTTATGTGACTCAATATAAACTATGACAATAACCTTGATATATGAAAAATTAATTCATAATCAATAGAATGTTCATTATCTCCTAAACTTTTTTTTCAATTTTATCCATCTTAACTTGAATAAGTTGATTTTCACTATTTTATTTCTAATTATAGTTTGATTCACTTGATCTTATTCCTAAAATATTGTTATGTATTATCTAAAAGAGGGATTGGGAATTGGATCCCACATACTTGTTTAATCTTATTTATGACTCGTATAGTTTGGTTCACCTGTACTATAGTAAATATTCATGTTATAGTTAGTTTGAATTGAGTCTAGGCTATTACTGCATCTGACTATATGTTTATTATTTTACATGAATTAGCTGTTGTTACATAGACTCATTCAAGCGTGTTTTTGAAAATGGAGAGAGATTATCTATACTTCGTATATCTTTTGAATAAATCAATGAACACTCCATAGTTGATTGTTGTAAATAGAAACAAGCCAAAATAATGAACCTAGACTTGTTTTTGTTTACCGAAAAGTATTTTAAGCATATTATTGTACAATCCTCTATATAATTCTTTGAGAGAAATTTTTGTGCCTTTCTGTACCCGTATATATGTGTTTAAATGAATATAGTCAATTAGTTGCTGTGATAAATTATTATTGACTAGATTTAGGAGCGATATCTATCAGGAAAATATACTGCCTGGTGACAAATCGATGGAACGTTTGACTATCTACATAGTTTTCTAATTGAAAAGGATTTCAATCTTTCATTGTTCTTATCTTTCTTAATAATTCATCAAAATTTATCCTTAAACTCATTATGATGAACAAAGTTTAACATATATCGGATTGCATAGAGTAGAAATTGACGTAGTAATTAAAAAAACACACACCGGGAATAAACGTTGGATCAAAAGTAAATCACTCACGGAAATTTGTACCAGGCTCCACATTAATTACGACTGACTAGTTGTAATGATGACTTGTTTGTGTTCGCTGGATTCAAATTTTTATTCTTGTTACTTTTACATTTATTGACATTAAAATGTAATTCATTCACCAGGTACATATTTAGGTAGTCAGATGTGAACCGTAACGTATATGTATGACCGCTAGTCAGTCAATCATCATCAACGTAAAACCTGGTATAAGTGTGTGTTAGTTAAAATGTCCATACTATGGCTAGTGATACTCTCCAGTACAGAAATAGGAGTAAATAGACTGTCCTTAAGATGTAGGTCCATTGAAATAATAATGTTAGTTATTTCAATGAAATAGCATTTAAAAAATACCAACGGTATTTAATTATTGTGCATCACAGAGTACTAAAAAGCCTTTACATCTTATCAGCAAACGTGTGATAGTTGTCGTAGTTATATTAATCATACATATATTTTACAGGTAATTAATGGAGAGTTCGCATTAAACTTGAATATATTTGTTCGCCAGTAACAAGAAAAATCTTCACATCATTTGCAGTCTTTTCTAGCCACTATGTATTCTACTAACTAATAAGACCGGATGAGGAGCTGTATCGTCGAATGTTGGACAGATATGCTTACAAATCATGTTTTTTTATAGACAGATTGATCCCGACATAAACATGGACTTTTGGTAACTTTCTGTAGTTAAGTTACTTGCATCTACTTCACAATGTAATTATAAGACACTATGTAGTTTGCCTAGCTTCTTCAGTAATATCAAATTTTGCACAGCTTTGTGTTTATTGTTTCCCCGATTAATAGATGTCATCACTTTAAATACTTCTTAGTGTTAAATTTTGAATCGCTTTAATCAACTAAGCTTCAGGGTTCAACCACTAACCAATCCAATTTGATAGGTTTCTCTTTTTTGTACAACCCCCCTACTGACCTACTGTTTCCATTGTCATATTACGCAAATGTTTGAATAAAATGTTTATTGCTTGCGAATCAACCATATTTCAGTTAGTGATTTCAAGATCGTGTCGCTTACTTGAAATGTCACTGTTAGTAATAGTTAGTTTCCCAATATTGAATCTCACCCCCTACGAGTCGTTGCATTATTTAGAAATACCATTATACGCGATTGTAAACAATGTACAACTACGAGGAAAATTAAGGACTTATGAGTTGAACTAGTTTTGAGGTGCAGTATGTGTTGGCTGGAGAAATTAGTGCGAACAGATACTTTCTTTGCTCGTTCAAGCCTAACACAATGCAGATCATGAAAGGATTGAAGTAAAAAAATAAAACTGACTTGGTACTTGGTTATGAGCTGAAGTAGATGGAGAGGAGTTAAAACCTGGGACTTAGTCCTTGAAAGTTGAATGCTTTCATCATTAGGTTATGAAACTAGTTGTTTCATAGATTATAAGAATACCAGTCACTAATGCAGCTGTTCTTACAGATGTTATCCATATGTCAACAGCTTAGTGGTAGCAATATTTCAAAGATATATACTTCTAAGTAATAGTAATTTTCAAATTACCCCATGGATGTATCGGTAGGATTGTTGTACAAAGACGAAAGTCAATAAAAGTTATGAATATTAATCTAAAATGAGTACATGGTCATTTCCTTTATTTAACTATTTAGTTTCTAAGATATAGAACAGAATTCTACAAAACCTTCACTTTCACTATTCCCATTTATACGGCTGGTTGAAGAGCGTATAGGTGTTTTCAAAGATACAGTCATAATCATCGAGTCATTGCTCACATGCATCATTTCGTTGACTCGTCAACTTGTTTCCATACTAACAGTGTTGTGCTCAAGATTAAAGAAGTAACTATCATCGGCCTTACACAGATCTTAAAGGTAAAATTATCTCCAGTTTTTGGATCCTATGTACTGTGATTTTCAGATGCATGAACCTATTGCAAGCCTATTCATGTTTATTAATTCTGTGGAAAATATGTATACAATCTAGTTTTTCTTTATTTTCTATAATCAATTATTCATTTACATCACTTTCAGTCTGAATCACTAATAACTGGGTGGAGATAATCAAGGTCATTTTTTTAGTTACTCAGTAACGGTGGTAAATTATAGTTACAGGAAATTTGTTTTCAGTCAATTTAACTAACCGAATATTACAGCCAATTGTTACTGGTTTCTGATGTTTAAAAGTAGTCAGCTGAGATAACATTCAATGTAGGTTTCTTCTCATCGTTGTTTTCGAAAAGTCCATAAACCAAACAGACTGGATCATATCAACAAATCACTTTTCAGTAAATTGACTAATCGAAGTTTTTCATGATTTTTATTATTCACCCTGTTTTTATGTGTTAAGTAACGTTGATATTTTTCAAAATAATTTTTAGTCTTCAAACCATCCTTTAAATGTTCATGGACATGGAGATAATCATACAAATAGTCGAGATTCTGTTTCTTCAAGATCTAGTTGGGCTCGTAGCATATTTGAACGTTTACGAGCTTCATCATTAACATCATCTACTAATGAGTCGAAAGCACATCATAATTCTAATGGTCAAAATGAATTTTTATTTCGATTCAAAGAGCACAACAGTAACCATAGTCATAGTGTAAATATATCATCTGATGTAATTGATCCAAGGCGTTTACCAAAAGCTCATGGACCTGCAAGTAATTGTTTGGAATTTTCTAAACGACCTTTGCAAAAGTCCAATAACCATTTACATTCGAAATCAATTCCAGTATCTTCAACACATGCTGATTTGATGTCTCCTAGTCTATCGAATTCGTTACAATCTCCTAACACCAATAATAATCATAATAAACACAGAAAACGTATTCGCTGGGTATGTTTCAAGCCATGCTTACAAAAATAACTGAAAATTAAAAATACAAAATTTTTGCTTATACACCGAATTCGCTTTTTGGGACAATGTGTTGTTTGAGAATAACATTAGATTTCATGGTGATTGTTCGATTATTCCAATTTTAAGTGAATAACTTTAGTGTACTTAGCAGCAATAATAATAGTAATAATAAATTTGTTTGATACCACAAATTTCGTTACAGTAAGCAGTTTCAATTTAATTCCCTCTCGTTTCTTCAAAGGGTAGACAAGAAAGAAAGTATATTAACAACCAGAGTGTTTTCGTTTGAGTTTTACAGCAGTGAACATTGTAATAAGTTGTAGTAAGCATCTTAAAAATACATTCGAGTGCATACAGTAAGGGTTCATAATCATTATTCATTTAAAAATAAATATAAAATAGGAGGGTTTATTGCAACATTTGAACAGAGGTGGTACGTAGGTTTAAGCAGGAATTCAACGATAGAAAAATCAAAACCAAATGAAAATGATACTTTCAATTGTAATTGAAGAAGAGGAAAAACTAAACAGAACAATTGGAACTATTAATTTCAGCAGAAAAATTATTAAGTGTTTACAACTGAGGATATTATGTCGACTGAATGAATTTTTACTACTGAAATTAATTCCATTTTGTATCGTGTAAAGTTTGTAATTACAGGATCCTACTATTTTTTGTTTGGGCTGATAATTGTCATGGTTTAATGATAGCTAATAACCGGGTTTTGGATTGTTAAGCGAGTGAAGAATATTGGGACTATACGTCATTCACTTCCAAATATAATTAAGTTTTAATTATCATAGTTTAATTCTTGTCCCGTCTTATAAGTAGTATAATTTTTTTGGCTTGCTTATTATTGCCAAACTCTGAATAGATTTTCTTGATGTATCGTATAACTAACTCATCAGGCGTCCACGTACATTCTAACTACCTTCGTTCTTGAAGTCTTATGATTATTAACATCAATTCGACAACTTTGACACAGTAGATTAGAGGAAAAACTAATTATCCTGTCAAATATTTCAACGTCTCGTATCGTATTCGAATTTTGCTGCCTATTATTAATCACTATTAGCTTAAGTGTCTATTTGTGTCTCATGATTCCATAAGTGTTTTAATTTGTTAGACTGAAGTGGATATAGCGTTTGTTTGTTTTAAAACCTTTTATATTTAACGTATTGTTTCTATATGCAGTTCAGTCATTCAACTTCATGTGATACTGGACCTGACGATCCAACTTTAGGTTAGTTTAAACATATTTCTAACTTTGTTATATTGTATTATCAAACTGAATTCATTTCATTTGTCAGCTTAAGGGTCTATTTTACTAGAGAATTATTTATTTTATCTATTTATTTTAACACTTAGATATCGGTACAAGGAGGCACCAAATACATATGCACCGCACAGATCTCATTTGATATGTGTGAGGGCTATGATACTGCCCGGGTGCCCAAACCGAAGCAGGTGGTTTTCTTAGGGGGCCATACCCCGAGCCTTCGACCTAAAGGTCTGACCCACAAGGCAGTGGAGCATCGTAAGGAGATGCAGTTCCATGGTAGCCGGTGACCAACGATTGGTTCATACACCATTTGTTCCTTCAGGATACTGGAGCCCATGTGCACCATTGGTTTGGGATCCGGTTAAAGCACCGGACATTCGGTTTTCGTCCTGTCAATTTCGTAAACAAGAACCCCGCCACGAGAAGGCAGTGAGTAGGACTTCCCTGGCAGAGATGTTGAGTCACTTAGACAAGTGCTCGTAATACAACTTGGTTGATAGTATTCGATAAGTACTAAGAACTAGGCTAGAGAATTAACTGGAGAAACATTCACCTAACTGTTGAATGAGACGATGTAGGAGCTGAAAAACAATAAGATGAGCACTTAAAGCTATGATCTTTATGCTGAAACATTGGTGCCCTTTTCCTACTATTGCATGAATGTGGGAAATGGGCTGTTGTTTTCGACCATTGAGGTATCATGTTTTAGGTTCACCAACCTCTCTTATTCAGTAGTCCGTTCTTATAAAATAATACTGTTACACTGTCCAAGTTCCCCGAGGACTTTTGTCCGAATATAAGTTGGAAATCTGCTGACATTGATTGTTATTTGACCTCTTCTCCTACATGTTGCTTAAGCTTATTTCACACTGAACCTTGTTATCTGTATTTCAAAATCGTGTAGGAAACATAAGTACCGATGTGTGTCTGTGTATTCTTGAAATCGGTCTTCTTATTTGTGTGTTTGTAGTCTAAGTTGAGCCATGCAAATTTCATATCTGACTTTTGTCAATTACGCAATTGTTGTATCAACAAAGTTATTGAAGAATGTAAGACAGAAATCTGTACATTTATTTTAACTTGCTCAAGAATTCACTTGTCTTATTGATACAACCAGTTTGTTATCTCATTGCAATTAATACGAGTCAATGTTTTTTTGTGCATATCTTAATTTTACAAAAATTAATCACTCGTCATCAGTGTGTGGAGGATTTAAAACTGTCCGTATCACCTAAACTATGACCAAAAAAAAACAAGACTCGTTTGACCTATTATTTGGACACACGTGTCCTACTTAGCTTTGGATAATGTTTTAATAACAGGATATTTCACCAGGCCTGTACAGAAAACACTATAGTTATGTTGATAATAGTAAAGGGTATTGGTTGAGAAAAAAAAACAATAATTCGACATTACGATACGTATAATGCCTGTGAGGGCTTAACTACAAGGGTCGGTATCTTAGTCCACTGAAGCTACATATATAGTAAGCAACCTTGCCTGAAACCGGTCTTTACTTCGAACGCGTCTGTCAGCTGTCCTCCATGCAGTTTAATCCATTATAGGAACTCCGTATGATATTGACTCTTTTCATGCGCACCGTAGTGTCGAAGAAACCTCCATAATGTTGTCCTGTTCACGCTATCAAATGCTTTTTCGTAGTCAATGAAGTAGATGTAGTGATAAATTCCATTCAATTGATTGTTCTACAGGAAATGATGAATAATCGTTCTTTATTAGGATAAAATGTCAACTGAATGAATTACACCTAGAGAATTTTGTAAGAAAACTACAAAATGGCACTTTTTTTCTATACATTGTTACAAGTTTTAAATCAACAAATCTACTACATATAAAGTTACTGTCACATGATAATTTTCTGATTGCAATATGTGCATATGCTCGCATGCTCATATGATCACCTGTTTACTTAACTCCCAAAAACATTTTTAAGTAAAACGATAGCAACATTATCATATTTTGTTTTATGCGTTTTTGTATCATTTATTGCGAAATATGATTGGTGATCGGCAACTTTTCTCAGTCATTACTTTTTGTGTGTTAATATAGTTTGTAGTTGAAGTTACATTGTTTTGTTTCTCACTTCGTTCATACTTTTACAGTTAATGTAAATCGAATGATTGTTTTTATCTATCTTTTCCTCTATTTTGCTAAAAATCAGTACTGAGGCTTGAAAACAGTAACGTATTTGAATTAGATCCAGGTCGCGACAACAAAAATTGCTTTTCTTTCATGAACTATTACGTAGATTAATTGATAGTTTTACTGACATGAATTTTTACGTAAATTATTTTGTATTGACAGCTGTGTTCAAGTACTCAGTTATTTCTATGTGAAAGGAGTTTACTTTTCAACAGGAAAAGTTTTACATTGACTCATCACTAATCAGTGTTTTAAAATGTTATGTTTAGTGATGTAGTTCTGATTGTCACAGAGAGAAAGTTATCACAAAATTTAATTTCAAGTTTTCCTGTCGACTACCACCAACAACTTAACAGCAAGGCTTTTAAGTAATAGATAAAGTTATATTATAAATATATTTTTAAGGTTGTTTTCGTTTTTAATTTTCTCATGAATATGCTTGATGTATAATTTCTATGCACTTATATAAATTTCTTTAGCTGATAATACGATAAGAGGATTTAGGTTTGTAAGTTGTCTATATTTATACCAACTATTAATTCATTAAATTACTTTCACTGTTGAATTTACGAGTCGATCTAAGCTAGACCACCCTGCTTCGGTCTGGGCACCCGGGCAGTATCACAGCGCTCACACAAATCAATATATATATATATATATATATATATATATATATATATATATGATTCCCCGTGCAATAGTTATGAAAGTTCAATTTTTCCCCATCCGGCCATTGACAAATGATGGACTATGTGAAAGCTTCTGAGATAAAACTGGTAAAACATATGCAAGCCACTGAAGTCAATGTTTCAAGGTGATACTAACTGAATTATCGACACTGCATACTAACACACAATGCCAAACCTCAGTATTACTAACACAGTGATACTACTCCAACTCTTCGGTGACAACTATAATCAAACACTGAATTCCTAAACTTCCTCAGCTCGGGTAGCCTAGGTTTCACAAACACAAAGCAGAACTACTCTCAATTAAGTGTTGTGAACTTTACAGACAGGCTAACATAACGACAACGGCAGAGGTGGGGGGCTCATCGGTTTAAGCTTCTGTGGCTTTCTATATTCATAGACTGGTTTATTTTCTCATATCAACACCACCCAGGTACGAAAAGTTCTTGTTTACTTCTACCATCACAAGTAATATGACAGTTGCTACTGAAAATGTTACCAATATTAATAATGTTTTTGTTAAATGTCATATACTTTATTGCACTAGAAAATTGTCAGCGACAATATGATGAATTGAAAAAACCTTTTTAGGCACATAACTCGTGAATATTCAGAAACATATGCAAACAATCTTTTAAAACAGTGATTATCTGCAATTTTGTATTTATCTGCTAATGCTTACGACCAGTTCAGCTTTCGTGATATCTCATGTATCAATTCCATATTAATCATCTCTTTAATAGTCATAGAATAAAAGATATATATATATATATATATATATATATATATATATATATATATATATATATAAATCACTGTTGTGGTACTTTTAGTATTCTCGATTATCAGATTCACGATAGATTATAGACATTATTTGAAAGCGTGTGAATACACGTGGTCAGCAAACAATCGTTCAATTCACATCAATTTAAATTAGGAAAATTAGTTGCAATAAATGATTGTTGATCTAAGAAAACTGGTGGTCAAATTGGTTCAATTGGTCACCGGCATTCATAATTTAATCGTTTTGAACTGTTTTAAATGCAGCAATTAATTTTTTCTTATTTGATCTCTTTATTTTAAGGTTCATCAAATTATCATTCACAATTAAGTTCATCAGTTGTAGAAGAAATTCAAGGTGCAGTCAATATTTTAGCTGGTTAGTATTTTTTTTTCGATTATTATTATTATTATTATTATTATTATTATTATTATTGTGCAATATCTTTATTAATTAATTATACTGGTTGGCTAATGATTTTTATTGTTGCATAATCGTTATCGATAACGACGGAATTAATCTTAATTAACCATTGTTATTAGTTTATTTACATGTGATTTCAGTTAGGAAGTTTATACAAAATTATTTCATGTGTTTTTTTGATCATATCAGTTGTGTACTGCAAGTTTTCAAAAGTCTTTCTTTATTTTTATATCAGGTGAAATAATTAAATAAATAAATAATTGAGAGATGGAGAGAGTGAAAGAGTGAAAGAAATATTACCATTTTTACTGAAACGGAATTGTATATCTTGATTGTCATACGCGTTATATATATATATATATATATATATATATATATATATATATATATATATATATATATATATATATATATATATTCTATAAGTATCAATATCTTGTATCACTAGTAGTGGTGGTAGGTAATAATGTCAGTGATTACTATTGATTATATCAAAATTCACTGTTAAGCGGGTAATTTTAATTATTTTTTCTTCAAAAAACTCCCACATAACATTAACACTTGTACATTTGACTCTGTGTAAAAAGTGTACAACGTTAAACATTAGTTTTTCCAAATTTTCATTAATTTAAAGTTATCATAAATTAACAAGTCATGAAAAACATATAAACTATTGAATTTTATATTTTCATTTTTATTATTATTTATTTATTTAAACACGTAAATATTGGTACAAAGGGACATCGAATGCGTATGTGCCACACAAGTCACTTGATTTGTGTGAGGACTGTGATACTGCCCGGGCACCAAGACCGAAACAGGTGGTTTTCTTAGGGTGCCACACCTTGAGCCTTCGACCTATAGGTCTGATCCACAAGGTGGTGGAGCAACGTTAGAGGATTCAGTCCCATGGCAGCCACTGACCAACAATCGGTTCATACATCATTTGTTTCCTTAGAATCCTGGAGCTCATGTGCACCACTGGTTAAGAATCAGGATTTCCCACCTGCTCTAGGTGGATCCTCCATATCCACCAACCGGATTAAAGTTCCGAACATTCGCTTTTCGTCCTCTCAATTTTGTAAACAACAGTAATGCCCCAAGAAGGCAATGAGTATGACTTCTTTGACCGTGTCTATATACGCGTGGCGATGTGAGAGCATTTCGAGATGGAAAGTTGACTCTCCTTACTCTCGACCGTACCTGGGCATTTGGAGGTTTATTTATTGATATGCTTGTATACTAAACTAACATTTCACAACTTAAAATTTAATACGATCATTGAATGAAGCTTTATTTCTTAATGAAAACCCTGTTATTGATTTCTATAGTACAATTGAAAATACATTGATGTTAATCGGTTATTACATCAGTTACAGTAATTAGAATGTATGAATTGAGTGGTTTTCCCTAAACACAATCATAATCAGAATACATTGAAAGTTCACGAAGTTATATCACGAAAATCCAAGTTTAAGATTTCCTGTTGATTATCTTTAGCCAATTAACAATCAAACAAAATATCTAAATCACTGAGTTTGCTTAAATTCGACTGAATTTCAGCGTTCACACTAGTATCAACTGTTTGCTTGGTTTATTTCTTCAGGTTGATAGATATATCTCATACAAATCATTATTTAAATATTATATAAAAGTAAAATAAAATATCTTCAAATGTTTATACCGAAATATATGTGCAGTGAGATTAGCTAACACATTAGTTTGAGTTGAATTAACATCTTTTTAAAGAATGTAACGAGTCGTCTCGATTATCTTAGTTTAGTAATTAAATTCATGATTCGTTTAAAGCCAAACCACCGTGGAAAACTTGGAAGCACCATTGTCTTCAGTGATTTGGTATCTCACAACAGGCCTAGTTGAACTCCACTAGTCACTGCTTCTCACTAGAACTTTAGGAAATACATCTTGGAGATCGTCACTAATGAGCATAAGATGACTATAATCAGAGAAGGGTTTTGTGTATATTACAGTAATTTAATAGTTGAGATCATCAGTCAATTGAGGCTAGACCACCATGAAAAACCTAGAAGCACTGGACGACCGTTTCATCCTAGTATGGGACTCCTCAGCAATCCATTTAAAAAAACATGATGAAACAAGCCTGTGTACTGTTTTTGAAGTCTTCATGTTTTTCTCGTGTTGAAAAATAAAAAAAACCTTATTTGGATAGAAATTCATAGCTAATAAATCTATCGCGAAATCCAAGATTTCAAATTAATATTTATATAACTAGTGAATAAAGTTATATCGTATTGAACAGGAGTATTAAGTATGTGCAATACTTCCTTCTTTGTTTATCTCCACCCAAATATGTGGTCATGATACTTGAATATTGGTATTTTCTCTTTGTGAAGATATTACACTAAATTGCTTGTTCTCCCAATGTTTTCTTATTTGATTTTGTTAAGGTCGTCAGGTATTTCCTAGTAGCATCGCTTGTTCTCGTCCAGGAATCCGTGTGAAAAGCGCCTCTGAATCAGAGCATTTACTAGTTATTAGTAAATCTCTGTCCAATGTGAGTGATTTTCTACAAGTCTCATTATTATTATTATTACCATACTAATAGTGGTAGAAGTGTGATTACATTTAACTTGCTAATCTAGAGAAGGAGAATACGGGGATATTGCAAGTGACATATATCAAAGCTCTGTATACAAACAGTAGATCACTTACTCAGATATTCGTAGGTTGTTTTTATCACAGACACTAAAAACTTAGGGCGACTACCGAACCATTTCGTCCCGGTATGGAATTTATTCTCTAAAATCACATCATAATCGAACCTAAAACCTTTAGGTCTCGCGGCGAACTGTTAATCATCGGAAATATTAGGTCCACCTCCAGTAGTACGATTGCTCGCTACAAGATCTGACGGCCTTAAGTCTGCTCCTTTGTGCAGAGTAGTGGAGCGATGTCCCTACTAAGGTGTCCTGTTCTGAAACGGAGCAACTGTTCTCCCTTTTTCTTAGAAACTATTTTATCCTACTCTTATAAAACTGATTCCTGGACTTTATCTTCCAAAAAAAACGGATTGATTGTAATTATCATTGGATCTTTTTTGCTTTATTTCTTATCAGAATATATTTCTTATCCCCGTAACTAAACTAATTCTCACTTCATATGCATAAATATGTCCTCATACACTTGTTGAATAGTTCCAGAACATGTAATTCATGCTAACACTAATTTTGGTTATCTGTGCGAATGAAAACGAGACTAAGATAAGTAGTTCAAAATAGTAGAGAACTTTATGTTTCCAAAGAAGCTTCATTTGAAGTAGCCGGATTAGTTGTGATAAAGGTATATTATTACCTGTCCTCAAGTCATTTCTCTCATATATATATATATATATATATATATATATATATATATATATATATATATATAATTTAGGACTGTTTATGCCGAGGATTGTCGATATATGTCTTTGATTAATGTAATGAGAAAAGGATGTTTATCAAATCTGTGTTCATATACTAATTTGTTGACAGTTTAACTTCTGAAACAAAAAGTTACAGCCACACAAAGTATAAATTGCAGTGATGCAATAAGAGTTAATTATAAAAACTACCTATCCGTTACTAAACATATAAATTGACTGATGAATCTCAGGACTGATCAAAGTTCAGCTTTTGTAATGGGTTTATGTAGAAGTGGTTTAGGGTAAATAAGGTTTTTTGAAGCCTAAGCCGTACGAAGATTCAAATACCCTTTGCATATGTGTGTTCAGAAACCAATTATTATCTGCATTAGACCTACCCATGTGATATTGATTTTCTATAAAACGTTTTACGTCTCCTACAGATATCTTGGCAAATTACCCAGGTTATTTAAAATGTTGTAATATGTCAGTGTATTACACATCTCTGAGTAACTTCGTCTACCCACTGCACTATCGAAATTAATCGAAGGAACTAATGATTTTAACTTTGACATATATATTTCAATTTTTTAAAATATAAGTACATTATTCAGTTGAGTAGTGAGTAAATCACCATTCCCCTTATTTTGAAGTGTAACAGGTTTGTAATATGTGTTTGGCAGCGATTGACTAATAATGACCTCGATTTCTCGAACCTTGATATTCTTATCTTCTCATAACATGGTGAACTGTTAAAGTTAATAGCTTTAATTCATCATATGTATGTAGATAAAAATCAAAGATTTATTCATTTGGATCTTAAGAAGCTTTTGTTAATAAGTAGCCATTCAGAATAGTAAAAAATATTACTAATAATAGATTGAGGTTTATTTACGAAATTTTATCAAATACTAACTGGAAAGCATTATTCATAATTGTGGTGATCCGTTGATGAATCGATAAATAGCTGCTGAGACTGTTTAGTAATTTGTTTGCATTTGATTATCTGAAGTAGGATCGAGAAGGCAACAGCAAACAATTGAATTCAATTAGTCAAGTAAGCCGATGAATTGATTTTCCTCTCCATAATAATGGTTTTTCTATAATAATTAAGTTTTAAACGAACGATTTTTATCCTATTAAATATAGTCAAAAGAGGAACTATCCCCTTCATCCTTTGGTCATTTTGGTGAGTTTTATAAATTCGTATTTTACTTGATTATTATGCCAAACATAATATCGTAAACCTGCTTCGGTTTGAGCACCCAGGCAGTATCCAAGCCCTCACATAAATCAAATGATTTATGTAGCGCATCTCTATTTGGTGCCTCCTTGTTCCAATGTTTATGTGTTTAAGTAAATAAATAAAAATAAATCGTGTATATACTACTTGTAAAACTTGACCACCGTTCTTATAGAAATTTAGTGTTAAAAAGACAATTAGGCTGGTTTATCGTTATAACGAAATAAAATTGTATATTTGAGGATTGCGATCGATAACGTTGATTAAGACGACTAGTGGTTGATCATTCAAAGCTCCCTAATAAACAGATTTTAAAGATGAAGATAACAACAAATAGCATTATTTCATTTATTTAAGTGTTCTATGGTTGGGGTTGGTTGTCTAGATTCGGTCAACATTTAAGGACTAAAATATATGACACTGGTCGCTACTGAGTGATTGCCTAATTGTGTTGTCTGGAGATCACCGATTTGTTGTGACTTGAGACACTAATCGATATCACTTGTTATATTGTCTAATCAGAATTTCGATTATTGATCGGTCACCTGTTTTGCTAGTTGGACCATTGGTCTTTTATTTATTAATTAACACCCAAGCTTTTAACACTTATTGGTCCTGAAGCTCCTTCTAACCTAGTAGAATGGCTAATCAGTAGACGTGTATGGAAAACAGACTAGATCCTCATTGCACTTAATTTAACTGTATGTCAAAACTCATATAGTAAGCGACTGAACACAAAGTCTCCCAAATTATAAATTATACTTTAGCAAACTACATAATTAATAATAACTAAGGTAATATAAAGCAATATTCAGTAATATCTGCTGGAAGCTTACACTAACGGGAATACAGAAATGCAACAATACAGTTAATTTACTAAGTACAGAAAAATAGAAATAATAACATTTAAAAATGAGTTTTGAAAGTCACAACTTTCTCAATATACGTCCCGTTATAACAAATTGTTTTTACTAAAATGATGTGACACAAAAGTTATCTTGCTAAATTAGTATAATATAAAACACAAATGTTTTTGAAATATGGATCCTAAAGATCATAAACTTATGAAGTTGAAACTCAACTATAGGGTCGGACGAAAGCTAAAGGTATTAAGACGAAGATTTAGTGTTGTTGGGGACGACCAATTTATTTCTTAACACAAAATTACAGAGTTCTTTGGCAATTTGTGAAAATCATACATTAAATACTTCATTTGCAAATTTCCATCATTTGTACTTCACATTATCTATGATTCCTCCGATTCACAATTGCTTTCTATTTTCTTTTCTGTTCTCTTCAACTCGATCTTCTTAGCCATCTGCTATCAGGTTTTCCACTTCCGATTTGTTTACATACTACTTAAGTGTGTCGACATAAGTAGCATAAACCACAGTGTTAGTCTATTAAGTCACTGAACGTTGGTCTAAGCTACTCTGGTAGATACAGACTGAGACTGAGTGATATGCTTTATAATCGTTCACAATGTCGCAGATTAGTTTACTCTTTATCTTCCTCTCGATCTTGAATTCCACCATTCATTCATACATAACTTTCTACTTTGTCGTTTCGGAGCATACTCTGGATATTCACTGTTTTTCATCACCGTTGCTACATTATTTTGACTCCTTTACTGTTCATCTTGTTGTCTAATGTGATATAAAAAGTTGGGCCCAACACATTTGTGCAAATCTCCACGTTGATAATGTCTGATTACCTTATTAACTTAATTATCGCCCACCATTTCGATCTCGCCTTATTTTACCAATGTCTATTTATATTCAGCTTTCTTAATTGACTTTTGTATCTCAGATTTCGTTAATGAAAATATTGTCTTTTATTATTTCATTCTAGTCAATTCCTATAGTTTAAATATGTTTGTTGAATCACCCGTTTTTATCTACTAGGTTATTAAGAAAGCAATAACACTTTTTGACAACTTCCGTATGATTTAACACCACATCTATACTGTCACAATAAACGTGTGACTATATGGAAAATTTTTCTGTCTGTATGTAAATAAGAAAACTTGTTATTAGTTTCAAAATGCATGGTGATTTGTTGATTTTGCTTCTTAGTATATACGATATCGTTTGTAAAAATATGTTTTATTTTTAGATGAAAATCACGTTTATACCACGTTATTTCGTCATAGTACATGTTATGATGTTTTACCGGGTAGTGGAAAGTTAGTTATTTTAGACTCTCGTTTACCTGTAAGTTATTTACTGCATATACCTTTTTTAAATAACAATATACGGATGATCATTTTTGTTTGGGTATGTGTGGGTTAATATACTTGTGTTTACATAATTTGAAAAACCCATTTCCTAATCATTTATTTGTGTATACACAGTCAAGATAGGAACTTCCAATATAGTTCTTCATATACATGGATGCAATAGCAACTTTCAACAATTGGCTTGAAGGTTTTCACCTTATTTACTGAATTTAAGTTCAAACAGCTATGTACTATCACAAAATCCCTGACTTAAAATAGTATACATAATCCTGTAGTTAGTTATGAAATAAAATTTCTATGGAAAATGATTCAACTGTAGATTGCTATAATCTATGAAAGTGTCTACGTAGCATACGTTTTCACATAACAGGATGCATTACAACAGTTAGTCTTTTTCGATATCTTTGAGACGTTGACTTTTCCTCACGTTTTGAATTTTAGAAACCGATTTTATACATCTTTTTTGAATTTATTCCAGCATCCATCAGCTATTCATATTACCCATACTAAAACTCACTTTCTTTGAATAGCTTGTGAATATACCACTGACATATTCCTCATTTGTCCCGTTTCGGTATTTAGACTGAATGATGTTCGACTTTAGACGTATCTGTTCACCTAAAGATGGCATCCAACTTTGTAGAACTGAAGATCTCTGGTCTGTCAAGGTAGCGACAATCGATTTGAGCTGTTTTAAGAGGAGCATAGTTTCTGATACTATGCAATCGGAATAATGGTACTAATTTGTGAGAACCTTCAGCTGATAAGACTGAAAACCAATCACTGTGGTTTGAAAATCATTCTACTGGGTTTCTTACATGCTAATATTCCCAATTTTATCTGTTTTCAATAAAAGTTTATCCAATATTTCATTTTTCACCATTATTTGTGTAATTATTTCCTGATTTCTGATTTCCATATATTGATCTCATCTCTTTAAGTTGATGTAAAGTGTTACTATTTGAATGGTATTACACAAGTGCTGAGTTCTAGGTGCTTCGTATATGTTTCTTTGCTTTTCTGTGATCCTACACAAAGTTATCTAAAGTTATGTTCTAATTTTTTAAATAATTACAATGTTTATTATCAACTATTCAATTACTAGACATTACGTGCAATATGTGCTCTATTGGATAATGGAGTTATGGCGGCACCAGTTTGGTGCAATGAAACTCAATCATATATGGGTGTTTTTTCTCAAGAATTAGCTTTAGATATGATTGGACATTTACACTATACAGAAGTGATTAAAAGTGGCAATTCAGATATTCAAACATTGTCTTCTGCAAATGTTACTGACACATCAACCACAACAAATTCCTCATCGTCTGGATTCTTCTTTTCTTCGTTCAATGCAAACCTTTACGGATGGGGTGCAAAACAATTAGGGGAGGTTTATAGTGAGTTTTTCACGTCGAATTGAACATGTTTATAATATGAAACATTGTCATACGTACATTTTCACTGATTTATCAAATTAACATTTGACTAAAAGTTTATTTACAGAAATTAATTAGTTGACAATTTTTAAGTTTAATCACGTTTACTCTGATTGGTTCTATTGATTCGCAACTTTCAAAAGCTATAAAGTTGGATTATAGCTAGCAGTGCAATCCAAGACTCTAGTTCCAACCTAATTGTTGGGACTCGTGAGCTGGATCTTTTTGTTCTTAGCGTTTAGAACTACAATTGATTAGTCTGTATTGCTGCATTTCATTCTAGGTGGGTATCCTTGATATTGCAGTCCTTAATATCAATAAACAAAAGTCTTAGTCCTTACACAATACATTGGTTGTTTTTTATTTTTGCAAAATGTTTCACATTGAATGTTAACACACATACAGCAATTCACTTTAATTGTAGTTCTCCATGAGTTATCAAACTAGTATTAGTTTAATGTTCAACCATGTGTAAGTTATGCCCTAAAACATATTTTAAGCTTAGTGATGAATGGACTCATGTAATGTATATTTCTATCCTCATTACTGGAGTGTCAACTTGTGACATGTGAGGACGCATTGTGCTTCTAACCTCTTACAATTCATAGTTACTTTCATACTCGTTATCCTGTTGCTTGAGTTTGATGGCATGAAGAATCATTTTCATGCGCTGAAAAGGTCTGTACGTATTCTGTATATTATTCAATGGAATCTGTTGCAACTACTCATTTATAATAATAAGATTTATGCTATTTTGGATTATAATAAAATATTAAAAAAACTCATTGTTTCAGTGTCATGATATATGCAGTTCGGTATTTCTATATCTCCTTGTAATGAACAACTGACTGGAAACAGAATTAGGATTCATTCATTATCAGTCAATTGATCCTATTCCTATCTAATGGTTACATGTACTGTATGAGTGTTACTCCATTAACCATTTTAAATTTTCATTATTTTGTATTTTGATATTAATTAAATTCTTACCATATTCGTAAGTTTTTTGTTGAACATTTGACAACTATTAATGTGTTTCTGGTTGATTCACTTTTAGATTTCATGTATAGTCGTCCTGATCGTCAGCTTTTTTCAGATCTATTTGTATATCCTCATTACTGTTTACAAAAGGCACTTTATCGACTATTTCATCATAATCATCATTATCCTGAACAGAATCGTCCATATCACCAGAGTCAACATCCACACCATCAAGATAGTCTTTCTCATCATGATACTTTACTCAAATCCAAATTTTTCAACACTCGTGGTCATCGTTCTTCATATCCTAATAACTCTACAAAAATGTCGATGAATGATAATCCAAATAATAAATTTAGCCAGCAGTCACCCAGTGTACTTCCAAGTCAATCCAGTCATTCATCATCAAGACTGAGTTTTTCCGAAGATAATGGTACAGTATCCTTTTCGTTTTCTCCACTACTCGGTTCACGGTCACCTGGTTACCAAATACCTAACTCCACCAAATCAGATGATGCGATGTCAGGTGTTATATCAGAGGATTTCGAAAGAGTATCGTCTAAATGTTGTCCTCTTTCTAATCCAACCTCACTATACACATCATTTGTATCTTATCTAATTGTAATTGATAATCATAGTGGAAATGCGCTTGGTCTGTTATGCGCTGATCGTTTACTGGCATATTTACGTCTACGTGTAGATGAATTACCGAATACAGGTCGGATGAACGTAAGTTTCTTCTTGGAGTACGAGTATTTTTTGTATATAAAAGATTATTGTTCTTGTGTTTTCATGTCGTGATTTTTATATTGTTGCTATTAGAAATAACGAAATTTATTCAGATAAGCATGCGTTTTGTAATCAGATCGGTCCATATCAGTAGAATGGTACATAACGTTATTGCGCGAATTTCGTACTCTGCGCATGTACTCTGCGCAATAATCAATATAGTGTAGTGAACAAGAACACTAGTGGGGACAATCTAATGTATTTGACACGAAATTACAGAGTATCTCAATTAAATCTGAAAACCATATAGTATCAATCCATCGTTTCAAACTTCACTGTTCCTTTGCAAACATCAGTCCATCGTCTCAGATTTCTTTGTTCATGCCTCTTCATATCAATTGCGTTCCGTTTCCGTTCTTTCCTTATCGAACTTCTGCTGAAATACATTCTATGCCTGAGCACCGTTATATACTACTTGTGTGGATATAAGTAACCTACACCACAATAGTTGCGTGAATCAGTTGGTAAAGAATTAAAGCCCTTGATTTTCAACCGTTGTGTCACAGGTTAAAACTAGTCATCACTTATTTTGGCTTGGATAGCCTGTTCATATCACTACCCCTCTTACAAATAAAGTGTCTTAGAAACTGAGTACAGAAACCTGTTTGTAGTAACTGAGTTATGTTAACAAGTATTAATGGTCTTCAAATGTACTTTTTCGTCTAACGAATGTTTTAAATAAATTTAGATTGGACTTAATTAAAGAAATCCTACTTAATCTGTTTTTGAAAACAACTTAAACTGCTCCATTTGATCAATAAAAAAATCCTGATCAAAATAGTTTTCGCTCTTGTTACTTACTGACAAGAACTATCTTGAACAAATACTTACCACCTTCGAGGTTATATCTACAATTGTTCAGCACTATCTTTAAAAGACATTATCTCTTATTTATTTCACTTGTGACTGTAAAATCATTTGTTTAGTTATGAATTTTGGCTAGTTCAATAAAGTCATTTTGTCGGTGACCACCACCGACTACAAGTCGATTTGTAAATACATCCATACACTTATATATACTCTGTTGTGTAGAATCAATCATGCTAGTTACAAATTATTTATAATATTTAACCACCGATTTAACCCAACGAGAGAGTAGTGGTACAACAACAAAAATTATTTTTAAACCTTCATATTTTTAACCGATATTAAAGTTAATTTAATTAGAGATGGATGATGGCTAACAGCGGAATCCAGGACGCGTGTTTTGTCCAATTTCGGACTCGTCATCTTACACGGCAATATCATAACAATCGCACAGTATGCACTCGTACCAAAAGGGATTGATCAATTTCATTTGTACACATTAATGAGATTATTAGTATTTAAACACATTGATACAAGAGAACACCAAATAGATATGCGCCACAGAGTTATCATTGATATGTGTGCGGGCTGTGATACTGACTGGGTGCCCAAACAGAAATAGGTAGCTTTCGAATAGGGCCACACCCGGAGCCTTTGACCTAAAGGTCTGATCCACAAGGTGGTGAAGCAACGTTAGAAGATGCAGTCCCATGGCAGCCGGTGACCAACAATCGGTTGATACGTCATTTGTTTCCTGGAGCCCATGTGCATCACTGGTTAAGAATCAGGATTTCCCACCTGCTCTAGGTGGATCCTCCATATCCACCAACCGGATTAAAGTTCCGAACATTCGCTTTTCGTCCTCTCAACTTCGTATGCATCACCTTCGCCACAAGATATCAGTGAGTAGGACTTCCTTGGTAGTGGGTGTATACACGTGGCTATGTGGGAACATTTGAAGAGGAAGAGCTGACTCTTCCTACTCTCGGCCGTACCAGGGCATTTGGAGGCAAATGAGATGATCCAAACAATCGATATATCTGTCTAAATTATTATTAATGTTACTTTACTGTTTATGTGAAATTCATTTTTATTATAATAAGTATATAATCAAAAATACTGTACTGTTAAATGTTTTCACTCATGCTTGTCCATCCTCCATTCATCCCATCAACTTTGTTTTAGATGCTCATTTCGAAGTAGTCTAGAAATTACATCGTTTTTAAATTTTTCCACTTTATTATTATTATTATTACTTTCTGCTTGTATCAGTCCGATCATGTCTATGAACTAGCGTGTATTCTATGCTCATTTTCGTAATATATGTTATTATATTGTCTTCAGGCTTTATATTGATATACATGCATAATTGGATGGATATATGAAAACATTAAACCTAGAGAGAAAATTTGAGTCGTTGATCACTATGAAATAGTTTATAGAATTACACCTAATAAGTACCACGTATAAACTGATGATAAGTTGATAGGTAGTATACCAGTAGTAATGATAACATTGATAGAAATAATAGAAATTTTAATTTATTAATCAACATAGGAAACAGGTTAAATTTGAACAAATAAGTTATTCAGATAATGATCATTAAGAATTATTACAATTATGTTTAGTTGTCCCAATCCATTTCATTGTTACATCATTCCACTCATAAATCAACTATCTTTATTACTTTAATATATTTCATATATCCATATAAATATTCTTGTTTATTCGAGGAAAACCTGGTGATAATCTAATGAAAAACAATATTATGTGTGTGCTCTAATTTTCATCATAAGAATTTTGAATTTATTATTATTGTTTGGTGTTTATAAATGTTAGAGAAGCTCAACCTGTTACAACTTATCATGGAATGCGATAAGATCAATGTATTTTCCCACACATATAAACAGAAGCTTTTTATTTATTTATAGGGATGTACAGCTTAAGCGGGCCTCAAACCTGCTGTCTAAGGGTTAAAAGTTGAATGTCTTAACCAGTAAGCTACAGTGCAGCCTAGACACACGAAGTGGTTTACGAAACAAAGAGTAGTATCGCATAGGTTCTATCATGCCTAACTTTTGAAGACTTCAGTTATGAGCTCTGATCAAACTCATCAACGATCTGTGTGTAAACGCGCGAAGTATGCTGAACTGGAATGTAAAAATTTCATAAATTTGTTTCATCTCACTCAACATTTTGTAGGTTCCAATCGGTTCTATTCAGGGTCTTCGTTGGACTGAACGGCACACATCAAAGAAATCAACAGTTACTAAAGTAAGTTCAATATACTCTTTATCATCACAGCAGACTACAGAAGAATGTTTACAATTTAGAGAAGTCCCTGTTTTACATCCAAATGATCGAGTTCGTGATGCTTTACATGTGCTAACTAGTTGGTTACCACAGTTACCATGTCTTCCAGTTGTACATTATCTGGATGATAATCAATCTCAGTTGATTGATCAAATTAGTTTTATTTCACCTGGTGATCTTTTGGTAAGTAATTTAATTGTATATGTGTATTTTACTTAATAATAAAAGCAGTTTGTAAAATTTTATCTAGGTAGATGTGCAGACGCATTGTTGTAATACACCAGTCATCCATCACGATAATGCTATTTCTTCTGTGTTTAATAACTCAGTCCTCATGTTTAAGGTTTGTTATAACTTTTACCCTGTGTCCTATCAATGTATAACGTAATGATACCGCCAGACCGGACCAATGACGCATAAAACGTGTACGAGAAGTCTAGAGTCCTTATCGGTCCTGCTTCCCACCTAGCCCTACCTGTTAAGTCCAGAACACCAATCTCAGCCTCTGCGATATGAATAATTTATTTCAAACATACTGGGTTTATATACGAACCGAACAGACCACATCGTACCATAAAATAGGAAACAACATTTGTGCAAGATTTAGCCAAATGTGGCTGTGAATAAGGGAGATAGTAATTGATGAACTGGGCATAACTCAAGAATGGTAAATCATATAATAATAGTTCATAGGTCAAAACAAAGCTTATGATAAGAGGAACACGAATTTGAATAGTTTAGTTATTTAATAATTATACGATAAAAATATACGTATAGTATTAATCTAGAAATAGATCCCAACAGTTACCATTTGTTATTCTCATCGGGATATAACAAGGTTGTTGTATTGTATATTAAGTTTCGACTCAAGGGGGATCTTCTTATGTCTGTTTAAATATCATAGGAACCTGATTTTGCACGTGCTTTAGAAACTAGGTGTTAACATAACTATGTTTTCACATAGTAAGAATGATGTGATAATTACTATGTAGAACACATCAAAGTGTAAATCATTTTTTGATAAAAAATATGTTTCAGTTTGCATGGTTCCTTTGTTCGAATCATAGCTTACTTAAGATACTGTCTGTTTGTTTCTCTACCATCCCGAGTAAAAAATCACTTTATTGAATTCCTAGAGAATCTAGCTGTTACGTAATAGTTTAGGCATTCTCCTTTCAGCCGATAAGTCTCTGGTTCAAATCGAACTTCCCCCTTTATTCATTATTTCTTTATTTAAACACATAAACATTGGTACAAGTGGGCACCAAATAGATATGCACCACACGTCATCATCCGACTTGTGCGAGGGCTGGGATACTGACCGGGTGCCCGAACTGAAACAAGTGGTGGGCCACACCTGGAGCCTTTGACCTTAAGGTCTAATCCACAAGGCAGTGGAGCAATGTTGAGAGACATAGTCCCATGGTAGCCAGTGATCAACAATCGGTTTATACGCCGTTTGTTTCTTTAGCATTCTGGAGCCCATGTGCATCATTGGTTTAGAGTGAGGGTTTTCCAACTCCCCTAAGTGGATCCTCCATATCCACCGACCCGGTTAAAGCATTTTGGGAGGGAAAGCGGACTCTCAGTGCTCTCGATCGTACCAGGACATTTGGGGGCAGGTTTTACGCCAACAGAGGGTGCCTTGAAGCCAAATACGCAAACCTGTACTTGATAAATGAGTTCCACCAGATATCAAGGCAGAGGAGTTTTTATTTTCTAACGTTTTTCGATAGTACAGATGGACGGAATCGAATTGTGATTCTTGAAGGACCTGCATTGTGTGGCTATTGTCCATATATTCATTTTGTTAGTACGAAGCAAACTCAATAGTTGAGTTACATTTGTTGGTTTAAGCAGTTAATCTATTGGTTTTTTATGTTGTGTATTTAAACTAAAATATTAATTAACGGTTAGTTTAATACAGCTTTCATTATTGTATCGAGCCATATTAATTTTGTTTCATAGGACAAGTAGCAGAAAGCAGTTTTTCAAACAATATGGGTAGGAGTACATCAATGATTTTGAGAAGACAATGCATTTCTTTTCAAATATATTCACAATACTCATTATATAATTATTTGACTAATCAATCGGTAGGATTCGATCAACACTTAGATCTGGAAAGACATAACATCGGCTACTCAGGGTAAATATGACCGTCCTACATATAAGTCTCAGTCCGAATTACTTACACCTGTTACCCCTCATGGAGGAGCATGAGCCACCCACCATCATTCTCCATCCAACTCTGTCCTGGGCAATCCTTTCCAGTTATTATTCATCCTTTTCCTGTCTACTTCCAATTCCGGACGCAATGTGTTATTCGGCCTTCTTTCTTTCCGTTTCCCTTCAGAATTTCAAGTTAGCACTTAGTTCGTAATGCAGTGTGATGATTTCTTCATTATGTATCTCCCTAATTTCCTCTTCAACTGGAAGCTGGTTTGTCATCTCCCACAGTAGGTTGTTGCTGATGGTATCCGGTCAACAGCTATTGAGTATCTTGTGTAGACAATTGTTTATAAATACTTGTACATTTTTGATAATGGTTGTGGTATTTCTCCACGTTTCAGCACCGTACAGTGCGACTAACCGTCTTGACATTCGTATTGAAGATTTTGACTTTGATATTAGTTGACAGTTCTTTCGAGTTTCATATGTTCTTCAACTGTAGGAATGCTAATGCCAATCAATTCGAATAACTGGACGTTAATGATTTTAACTATGACACGGGTTCGAATCTCACAGGATCATGGTAAGAGACGAGGAATATCATTTCCACCAAGATTCCAAATACTAGCAGCTAGGTCGGGAACCTTTAGCTCGTTGCTTCCAGTCACCTCACATCAATATGTTAACCATTTTTACTGGGTCTTTACATATTGGAAAATATAAATACTAGTGCATAAGGAAAAATAATCAAACGCATGACAAAGAACCTTTCCAACTTTTCTTTGTTCTTTTTTCTCCCCATACAATTAATTAGAACTTCATTATCTGTTCCACTTCGGATACTGCACTCAATGAACCAATTAGTAAAATTATTGAGAAGAAATCCGTAGTAAGTAATTCAATGAAAATGTTTCTTTTTTTAAATTAAATTTCTAATCTTATATATATATATAGTTAGTTTGTATAACTGATAATGATTGGTATCCATCTCGTTCTGTACGTATCACTACATTCATAACGTATTAAGAAGTTTGAATCGAAGTAATGAACGAAATCCTTTGACATCTCCAGTCATTCAATTTATAATGGTGAAAATTGTTCCGTTAATCAATTAATTAACGTTTATTTGTATTTATTTTTATCATTTATAACACGAATTCTGCTTCAATTGGGCACTGGAAGAATGCTTCACACAAAAAGAAACAATTTACAGTGTTATTAATGGAAAACTAATCATGCAATCGAATAAATAAATAAATAAATGAAATGTATCGGAATAATCACGTTTCAGTTAGAAATGAATTGCTTTTATGTTGCATTCTAAATACACGAACGTTTCGACCATTTCCAACGGCTCACCGCGATTATACTGATTATGATTGAAGAATTAGATCAACGTTAAGTAAAAAAATGATGATAATTGGTTTTGTGAAGGGACGCTAGAGTTTTAATTTAACCAGTATTAATTTTAAGAAAATCAATGTGTGATATGTTTTGTTTCTGTTGTGTTCTCTGAGCCGACTGGTTTCATTTCTAAGTTTTCGTGGTTGTTGTGGACAATGACATCATTATGGGTGCTTAATGAACGGAATAGTCAGTTGTTTAATTTATCCGAAGGCGTTAAATCAGTCTATTCTGACTGATCGAACTCGTCATTTTTACATGAATTTATTGCTGTTCTTCAGAGCGTTCTCCTGAGCTACAAATCTTTGCCATCATTTCATGATATGGTACCTCTTGTAACAAGCGATTCTTTGAAGTGGGAAGATTTAATCATATTTTTATATCAGATGAAGGTTAAACTATACAAATTGTATTTATGCTTGTGAATAGATAGACGGCGAATAATCTTTATAGTTTTAAGAACCTTTTTTCATCGATTTAATATTTAAGAATTAGACTTTAAATTCATTAATCTACTTAGTACATACTTGAGAATTCTTATCGTAATCTTGTTTCGTATGTTTCATTCTGAATTATATGGAATTAAATAGTATAGTGTTTTCTGTTGATTTACTTAAAGATGATTTCGATTGTATTTCTTTCTCTCTCTCTCTCTCTCTCTCTCTCTCTGTGATCTAATCAGCTGAAAACTAGAGAAAGAGAGTTCCCCCTTAATGGATGATTTAGCATCGAGTAAACGATATTTGTCTAACATAGAGACGAAAAGGATTGTTAGACTTAGCAATAATACTGTACAAAGTGTTTTTTGAAGCATCAAAATGTGAATTTTTATGGTTTGTTGATTTACGACTTGGAGGCGATATAAAATCCTTACCGTTTCCGTTAATAATCTGAGCCTAACAATTCATAGCCAATAAAATACTTGAAACACTCATTCCGATTATAGAAAATGATATGATTCATTTGTGATAAGATAGTTTTAGCTTTTTCAACTTATCACAACACTGTGAATACAATGGTGAACCACATGAGATTTTGAATCAGGGTTTCACAACTCTTTCAGGTAGATCCTCCGTACCCACCAATCTTGATAAAGCTCCAGGCGTTCGCTCTTCGTTTTTCCGCTCTCATAGACACATTCTTAATGATATGGTAGTGAGTTAAACTTCCTTGGCAGAGACAATAAACATATGGACATAGGAGAACATTTCGAGAGGGTGAGTGGACTTTCGCCTCCCTATCCCATACCCAGGGCTTTGGGATACATAAATATGTGCAGATGTATATGAATAAGTTTACTTATTGGGGCAACGAAAAGCTTTTACTGATTTTAGATCTTGGTCATTTTTATATATGTCCGTTAAACTAAAGGGTTTTTATAGAATCTGGTTTATTTTGTAGGTTGTATTCTTCATAGATTGATCTCGCTTTGGGTACGAATGAAAACCATAGAGCATTGGACATCTTTTTTATCACAGTATGGGATTTACCAACAATGTGCATTTAAGACCCCTAAATGAATCAACCTAGAACCCTCTGATATTTCCGCGAATATTTAGTGGCTCGACATCTCGAGGCCAAAAGGTCTTTGGTTCACCCCAGGAGGGGTCGTGAGTACACAATACTGCGGAGTCCTAGAATGAAACAGGTGCTTGGTGTTCTATGGTTTTCAATGTCACACTAAGTAGGAGACCAGTCTTTAATAAGATTTTGGATGTTATATATACCGCTTTTATTACTTTTGTCTCCTATAGCACTGCCCTTATCAACAACAATGTATTTGTTTCGTCACAGAAACTGTCGACATTGTATTAGATCGTATGTTTCGACTTAAAGTAAGTATTCTTAAAAAGTCATTCTATTGTTATCAGCGATATATTGTTTCAATAGTTTATCCTTCAAGGTCCAATAAAGATTTGTGTTGTGGTTTCTCTAGAGGAGATTTATAATGACGATGTGTTCTTTTAGCTGATTAATTTACTTCTTAGGGGCACAGAGGAGAAAACCATACACCGTGGGACGTATAATCGGATCTTAATTGTCTGGTTTATGTTTCATAAACGCTTGGATGTGTACTGTGACATTATAAGTTAGCTTCATATAATTGGTGTGATTGGGTTGCTGAAAACCTGATAGCCTAGTAAGAGTATATTTCAAGGGTCAGTTCAGGTACTCAAATTTCCAATAAATTTAGCATCGCGTCACCTTATTTCACCAACCTCAGCTGCGATATTTTGTTTTGTTCTTAATTTATATTCAGTCAAGAATATTCACAACTGATCAATCACTAAATAGCGACCAATTTCATGTTCGTTCTGTCTTTGAGTGCTGGTCGGATTTCGTCAAACATGTTACAGTGCGACCTTTGGTATAAGTTACTCAACATCACGTGTACGTTTAGATATTTAGTAGTTGGGAAAAGTAGGTGGTATGAAACCCTGGATCCATGTTTCGTGCTACTCGGAGCTTGTAAGCTAGGTGTATCTACAATCGTAGGGAAACTGAAGAATTCGAAACCGTAACCTGAAATACTTGATGGTAATATCTTAGGTTGAAAAGATAAGTAGCTCGGGTTGGAATCTCGGGGGGGAGAAGCATCAGCTCTCTCAAGATTTCAAGTGCTTGTTATCGAGTCGCACTTAGCGCGGACCCCTAGGTCCAGGGGTTTCCACCGTCTAACTGAAAACACTTAATGTTAAAAATACATACCTGGAACTACATGTGGTATAGACAAATTAACTATTTCACAATCATTATCATTGTGTAGTTTTCTCATTTACTATTGAGGTTATTCAGTGAGCAACCACTAAGCTAAGTAAACTTCTCTTTTCTGATTATTGAAATGTGCATAGGGAACCTTCTGAGGGCTATTGGATTCTTAGGGTATTTTGTAACCTGATAGATATCGTTCATTTTCTGAACGCAAACAAACCTCAGAAGTAACATCTCTTCTACATTTCCGTCTTCTCATTTCGTCCACGATTTTTAGTGCCAATGATTGTGCGAGTTTTTAAATTAATTACGAAGTTAATATCTTTATGGTCCAATCTACTAGGCTCACGAACATTAGACAAATATACCCTTACAGTTCACCAAATCACAATATTTCACGTTCCTAGAATTATATTTGATTCGATATGGTTAGTGTACTGGATGCTTAAAAATAAGAAAAGTAATTTGTTTGAATCTCCTGAACAGTTGACTAATTCTCTTTTACTCACAATAGATGTATTTCTTCCCTTGATTTTAATGGTAGCACAAATAGTTCGACAGGAGAGAGCAGTGATAAGATGAGTGGTTTTTAGGAAGTGATAATTGCTATTAGATATAAGATTTTGTGGTTTGCATGAATGATTTTCGTGAGTGTTACTCATCACGAACTGGTCTAACTTGGGGTGGTAGTACCATGGAAAACTAGGACTTAATCAATTGTTGTTTCATTCTAGTTGTGATAATTTTCCATTATCCGCATCTATGTCTTCAGTGACCAGACTCAGGACCTACATATCTCACAATGATCACCGTGAAGTTATTAAAATTGAAAATGTGTAGTATTGCTTACTGGCTCAGCAGTTTAATGGGTAAGTCCCTGTTGTGAAACTTGAGGGCTCTAGGTTGGTTAGGTTGTAAAGGTTTACCCTACTCAAGAGTCTCATACTTCGACCAAACAGCTATCCAATGCTTTCTGGCTTATAAAGATAAATGAAATTAGTCCGTGACGAATATCATCAAGAAATGGATGTACCTGGGATGTAAATACAAAAAGTCCCAAATAGAACGAAACGCGCCTCCTGGATTCCATCGTTAGTTACCATCCACCCTTGCTGATAAAGCTTGCGACTTCAGGCAATATCGAGGCAGTCCGCACAAGATACACATATACTAACAAGAGACTGATCAATTGCAGTCATAAACAACTATGGTAAGACACAAGCAAACAATACCAAGTGAATTTAAGATAGTGTAGTTTTATATATTACACATTTAACTTATTTTTGCTCAATGACTTTGTGATTTTATTTTATTATTACTTAGACACCTTGTTTGATAATGTTTGATACACGAAAAAATAGCGCATCATGCACTGTAGCAAGTAAACCATTCGGTAGACCTGTTGGTATGGTTACAGCTAAAGACATATTACATACAGTTATTTTAGGTCATCGCCATCATCCTTCTTCTTTACATCCACATCCATCTCATCACATTGGTGAATCTGTGAATACAAGTCAAAACATGTCCGAAGATGATAATATTCCATATCGAAATAAAATACATGACAATTATAAACGAACTGTTTCTTTCGAATCCGGCGTTCTGTCTTCTAGCTGTCAAGATGGTTCAGAAAATATATTTGATGCATCGAGTGGTCAAGTTAAATTGGAACATTCTGAAGAGAAGTTTTCACGATCTCCTTCATTTGATTCGCTTCCTTCAAGTGGAACATTTTCTGTATCTAGTTCCAATTCCGAAGTGATACATTCATTATCCAATGAGCATTTCACATCAACATGTACTGATACTGTTACAAGACGTGATCATTGTAATTGTACATGTCATCATCAACCATCTACCACTTTCGATAATCATCAACACCAGCAATCTCATCACTCTAAAGATACTCAGAGTTCTGTAAATCCATCAGTTGGTATTCTTGATAAAATTCACAATCGATCACTACATGGTTCAGGTGAAGAATGGTGTGCTGATCGACGATCTTCTGTACCATGTACAATAAAAGGGAATATGAGAGGAAATTTAAATATTTCAGAGAATAAAAGGTATTTATTATTGATAATTTGACTAAGTTACTTAAAAGGTGTTTCTTCTGATAGATTTACCATCTATTTAAGGTTAATGTCATTCAGTTGAGTATTTATTTAACAATAAATAAACAGTAATCATTCCATTGACTATTAGAATATACAGTTAGGGTAATTTTAATTATTTTGCATAAAGTTAGTGCTATGACTTCATAATGAAAAAAATTTTTTATACTTTACAATGTGATTGTAAGTTCTTCTAGTATTACAAGATAACTTGATATAAAATAGAATTATTTAAAGTAAATACTGTGACCTATTCTGTGTTGTTTATTGATAACTCTGAGTGTACCGCGTAGTTTCAGATTACTTCTTTTTAAAATATATTTATTTTGAATACTCAATTTGTTGACAATGTTTATATATGCTCTTCACCTTTTACAAATATGAAAATAACACGTGTAGTTGTACTAAAAAAATTTACAATTAATTCAAGTATACTTATATGCTTTACAGTTAACTGATAATTTTTAACTTTTAAAGATGTGATTATACATGGTATGTCCGTAATAGCTTAATGATGAAAGCACTCGACTATCAACTAGTAGATCCTTGGCTCAAAATACTCTCCGTTTGCTTTATGGAGTCTAGGAGTATATCTAGACTTTACAGACAACGTGGCTGAACGTCATGTACATTAATTTGTACTAGGCAAATGGAATACATTATTTTATTTATTAATATGGTTATTTATCTGATCATGTAACATTTTTTCAATGCTATGACTAACAAGCTATTGATACTCATCAATCAACTTTAATTAGTAAAACTCATCATATCAAAATTTCTAACTTCGAGTTATAGCTATGATTCAACAAGTATGATTTTCACTATTTATTATCTATTTATTTATTTAAACACATAAACATCGGTACAAGAAGGCACCAAATAGATATGCGCCACACAGTTATCATTGATATGTGTGCGGGCTGTGATATTGACTGGGTGCCCAAACAGAAATAGGTAGCTTTCGAATAGGGCCACACCCGGAGCCTTTGACCTAAAGGTCTGATCCACAAGGTGGTGGAGCAACGTTAGAAGATGCAGTCCCATGGCAGCCGGTGACCAACAATCGGTTCATACGTCATTTGTTTCCTGGAGCCCATGTGCATCACTGGTTAAGAATCAGGATTTCCCACCTGCTCTAGGTGGATCCTCCATATCCACCAACCGGATTAAAGTTCCGAACATTCGCTTTTCGTCCTCTCAACTTCGTATGCATCACCTTCGCCACAAGATATCAGTGAGTAGGACTTCCTTGGTAGTGGGTGTATACACGTGGCTATGTGGGAACATTTGAAGAGGAAGAGCTGACTCTTCCTACTCTCGGCCGTACCAGGGCATTTGGGGGCATGATTTTCACTACATATTAGACAAATTTTCTTTGCTTCAAGGAACTCAACAAAATTTTAATTCGATTTGATCAAAATTTTAATATTCGCCTTTATTTTCTTGTTTAAATTAACTGTTCATTGTTTAAAACTTGCATGATACAATAGAAGGAAATAGATTTACAATAAGGGGTATGTTTGCTAGTAGTAATATATTCATTAGTGTAATCGTACTGTTTATACTAGTACTAGTGTTCAAACATGTAACACTAGATTATATGTTTAACATTGTTTATAACATATGTATTGTTATTTATCTATATTAATGTATTGTGTCAGTTATTTTCCAATAAATGTAGCTTTCGAAGTGATGTGCTTGTAGTTACGGATTAATCTTATATAAAGTGTGTAACTTGTATGTTTAAATGTGATTGTTTAAATGGTTTTATAATGACAGGTAAATATAATAGAACATGGGTTTCTGTTAGTTTCTACAGATAATTAACATGTGAAATTAGAATTGCTATAAGTTTCGATAGTTTACGGAAATTATTTAAAAAATATATTTATGCGATATGCATTATAGATCCACTTTAAAATGCATTGATATCTTTATTAGTTTTAGTTAAATAATAGCGAAATCCTTTAGTGGCCCGGGATGTGACTCCAGTGAGATCGTTTCTGATTGCTATTGAGATGTACATATCGTCAATCCTCGTATTTTGTCATCGACTTAACTCGCGTTAGTGAATAACGGAATTAAATAAGCCAAATACGACAATGGATTTTTAATATGTATATTTCATGCACTAATTGATTTAAACAGGCAATCGGGGAATGAAGCGATGAGAAGAGAGCGAAGCGAAATGGCACTCAGTGGAGAAGGCATGTGAGCCAACTCCATTTAACCAAGCGTTAATCAATATTCATGGTCACACAAAATGAAGCTACAGACATGCGATGAATAGGATAAGAAGTGTACACATATACGCTTATATAAAAACAGTCAAGGTTGATAAGTGAATAATTAACAAGGTCAAAATATGACTCAAGTGGAATAAATAGATTGACCTGTCTGGATGCTAGAATAAGGTATATGGGCTTAACATAATAGCCGACACTACATACATTAATTTATCTCCACGATGTTCTTGCTTTTTTCGAACCAAAACATTTCATTAACATCATTTCTGAGATGCAGGTACATCCAGCTGACGAGTCCCAAATAGAACGAAACGCACGTCCTGGATTCCACTGCTAGCCGCTATTCATCTTTGCTTATAGTAAAGTGTATTTTAGTGGAATGGCGGTAATCACTATATCGCTTTATGAACTTCAGGGTTAGTGTCCAAATAAATTCATTTTTTGAGTTTCAGGTAGGCCGAAACGCATATAATCAGAATCCCATCGCTTGTCACAATCCAAATGTACCTGAGTATTTTTTTAATCAAGTGACTTATTTTACTCATTTTTATGATGTTTTCACTGATAATTTTTCTAGCAAAAAAATTCTTCCTTTTCTCTAAAAAATTCAATTATTTCTAGAAAGTCTGTTCCGGTAGTTAACTCAGACCGACCGAAACAATTAACTGTTTGCAATCCTTACATACAGAATAAAAATGATTTAAACAGTTCACTGCAGTTAATCGACAACAGTTTTACTGAAATCAATAAATCGATTGTTGGCGATATTTCTGTTCAATTGAATAATAATAATCCTAAGAATAAACTGGATAAATTGATCACTCAAGAAGAAGATGATACTGTTTTCCCAATGGATTAGAAGGATTTGATTGATTTCATTCTTTGTTGGTTTATTTGAAACAAGATAGCGATAACAGCGCATGTGGTAGCCACGATTGAATATAATATTGATCCTAGTTATTTGTATTAATTGAAGGTTGTTGCACTTTCTTTTTATTCAATAAATTAAATATACTAACAAACATTTTACATTTTTGTAGTAACTATTTGCCTTGAGAAATCTTATCAGTTTTTGCATTCTTCCATAATATATGTACATGGCTGAAGAAAATAGAATACACAAACTGCTGAATGATGATATGTACATTCACATTTATTCTCCGGTCGTGATATTACATACATCAGTCTATGTATGCGCAACATATTCTTTTACTATTGTGTTTCTTTAGTTAATAGAAACATAAATAGATGTTAACCACTGGTCTATAATTACCCGTTTTTGTGTTTAAATATAACTCAATCGAACAGTTTAGTCTTTTTTTATTTATGTATTTCATGTATTTTCATTTCTTTTATAAAAATCATGGTTTTTAATAAAATGTAATTGTTAAATCCGATAATTAAGTAGTTAGCAATCATACTCCTCTCACTGTTATTTTTGTTGAGTAATCCAACATAATTACCATTTACAAGTGTCTTTATAGACTGAGATTATCCACAATGTTTCCACTGTTCAGCAAGTATCATCTATCTAACGATTTCATCCACTTTTTGCTCATTTAGTGGGTAAGTGATGCATATCGGAGTGTAAGTTTTACCAAACGGTTTCATTTTAAGAGTCTAGAGTTATCCTCAATTGTTTACTATGTATATAACAATATGGCTCAACCTACCACGCCGGATAAAAAACACAAATATCGAGAAAGTTAGGGTTTAAAGTGAAACATATCATCAAAGATGCACTATAATATTCGAGTGTTTCAACTACGTACAGTTTATTCGACGTTACAACGAATAGACGTTATAAAGTATATGTTTAAATTGATAGGCAATAACATTATGCATTGAATATCAGTAATTAACCTAGTATAATACATAAAAGAAAGGAAAATTCAATTGGAAATCACATAGCAAAATTACTATAATGATTAAACCAACATTTCAGTGTACGATTCCTTTTAAGATGTTGCATAAATGATATTCAAAAATCCTGAAGGAAAGTTATTTTGAAAGTAGATAAGTGAGTTATGAAAAGGTAACAAATAAATAAAATGCGATTTCAATTAAATCTTTCTCTGCATACAACTCAAATTTTAAATTGTGAATGGCTGCAACTTTTGTAAGGTAGAGTAGGCTTAATCTTTTACATCATTGAAAATATTTAAATGGATTATTTCAAACAATCATTCTGAAATGGAATATTCTAAATCAACCATATTTTGTTGAATCAAGGATATTATTAGTCGATGTTGTCTTTTACCAAGCAATCTTGGTAAATGTAGAGATATACTATTTTGGTTAGTAATTAAATGACCTAATATAGGATGTTTGAGTATTTAATTGTAACAAAAATTGCCTATAGTTAGAAATGATCGTATTCTACCAAAATCCTGACAACTTAAAGTTTCATGACTTACAAATTAAAAATTTCTAAAAGCCAATGTTTGTTAGCTTTGAAAAACTTAATTGATAATCATCTATAATCTTCTAACCGAGAAGAATATCTGTGAATGCACTACGACTCACATAAATGGAAGATGATCATGTTAGTTTATTATTATCATATCGTATCAGTATTTTACGTGATTGAAATGATAAATGCGCTAAATAATTAATTCGATTGGAATAATTTTTTTCTAGAAAAGAAGTATAGATAATTCAGTACTGTATGAAATTTGCATCAGATAGCTGGTACGTAAACTCAGTATATATTTTCATTATTACTCATCTAGTTGAGAAATTTGTATTGTATGAAAGTGAGGAAGTTAGCACTGAATTTATCACACCACTTATATTCTACATTTATATACGTGGTCTTTTCAACCACATGAATTGAGTAACTAGAATCATTTGGTAAAACTTGGGAAAAGCTCAGGAGATGCACGAAACCTTGAAGACTGTCTATGAAGAAAATACTGGATCAACTAATTTATAAGCCGTGATTCTGAGTCAGGTGAGCCATCAGACTAATGTGTTGATGAAAGCATCAAGCATGTCTTGTGCTTTGTACTTTTTAATCAAATAAACTTAAAGAAATCATCTGTGTCCGTTATGTGAAACGATCCCAAGTTCTCAGAATGCTTTGTATAATGGAAATACAGGTTGGTAAGTGTATCGTCACAAATGTGAAGTATTTCGAAGAGTAGTAAAACTAGTATACCCTCGGATTTGTTAAACAAACTTTTTATGACCTCAGAATACTAATTGAAGAGATTAATGCACTTAGAGATGATCGGAAAAATCATTTTTCTGCAACACTACCAATCTTTATTCCAACTTTATTGAAAGACTGTAATTTTATGTATTAAGGTGGACGATCTAGTATCGTAGTAAACAGTCACACTTGTTAATACTCACACACGTTAATCATTGGTTTACTTCAATCTATTATCAGCCTTTGGGATTTTTACCTTCTTATTGCTAGAATCTCCCTGCGCAGTACTTTTATTATCATGCCACATGAAATCAATGCTAAATAGGTATGAATTTGATAGGCGTTGTCCGTGTTGTGTCTTCGAATCTCATGCATTCATATATATGCGAAACTTGGCTATATATTGGGCGGACAGATACAAGGACATTCGATGAATTTTAATTTATAGTCACCGACCGCTGTTCAGATGGGGTTAAAATATATATACTGTCTATTTTTCTTCTGTAAACACACATGTCATTGTCATGGTCAAACATCACAGCTGAATTCAAGTGACTAAAACAGGTGTAAAATAATGGCGCATATTGTTCAATAGTTAGTCAATAAACACAACCTCACACAAAATGGTTGTACATTACAAAATGTGTGACGACGGATTAGTAAATCCCTTGGTCAAGGTTTTTGTTCATTTAAAAGCCCTGAATGAAATCAATCCCATTATCCAATGTTTTATGGAATAATCTCGCAGGAAGTTGTGAATATTATACTGAAGCAAACTTGATTCACTGAAATGACGTTTTTCCAGTAATGGTCATGAAAAATAAAAGCGTACATGTAAAGTTTAATTAGTATATTTGTAGTTTTTTTCTCTCATTCAATTGTTTACATAATAGTTTCAAGTACGGAACTTCTCTCCATCTCTCAAGGTTTGTTTATGACTGAATAATCAACTCTTCTCATTACCTAGTATTCCTGACGTCTCTAGGATCTTCTTGCATCCCTCAGTTCTATTGAAAAATAAATTAGTTATAAAGAGAAGAGTTATAATTAAAAAAAACTTTTCATTGCCCTTAATTACTGTGAATTTGTTAAGCAAATTGATTTATAACTAATTCGAAGACTTCAAATAACAGCAGTAGTTCACTAACACAGAAATTTATTTACTGCTTAAGCCTTGCATATAGCTCACACAGGTCATTCAATTTCATCTTTTTGTAATTACTTAACTCATTTTAACCGATTCATAGAGCAAGGAAGGTACTATGTGACTGTGGGATAATTTACGGATCCACATATAAATTCATAACCTTATGTGCACATGTACAATAAAAAATACATGTGACAAAATTTTTTGATGAAAAGTGGTTTTTGTATGTGTTAACAAGCGCTAAGATAGGGCTGTTTTCAATATCCTACCTACCCTGACTTTATAACAAGTCAATGTGTAATGTTTTATAGGATAGCTTAGAATACTTTGAAAGTTAAGACTCAAGTAACAATATTGTCTTTATACACTAAACGTGATGAACAAGTTATTGTTTTGTTTCATCTAATACTGAGTACGTCCAAGTATTGACTATTTTTTTACAGAAGGAGTTTTGTGGAAATTGTAGTCATTTCAATGATTAAGATCATGAGTCAGTTGAAGGTAGACCACCATGGAAAACCTGGAAGCACTGGACGGCTGTTTCTTCCTATTATGGGACTCCTCAGCAGTGCGCATCCACGACCTCGCCCCCTGCGAGATTCGAACCCAGGACCTACTGGCTCAGTGGTCTAGTGGTTAAGTGCTCGCGCGCGAAACCAGTAGGTCCTGGGTCGGAATCTCGCAGGGGGCGAGGTCGTGGATGCGTCCCATAATAGGAAGAAACAGTCGTCCAGTGCTTCCAGGTTTTCCATGGTGGTCTAGCTTCAACTGACTCATGATCTTAATCATTGGTATTTTTTTACAATTTCTTTTGATATTTTGTTAACAATAAGATGTTTGCTTTGTCTACATAAGTTAACTTTGAGTTTGTTCATCATAAAAGATACCTTACTTTTAAGATCGCATAGAATCGGATAAAACATCATAACTACTTATTGAATTGACATGGGGAAAATTTGTCAGAAAATTAGCTGTCATAGTACTTTGACGGTTAACATACATGAAATGTGTTGATCAATGATGCAACAAACGATTCCATGGTCTTTGCAAGGCTACATATTTAAGAAATGTGAGTGTGGACATGATATTGTGAGTAATCGAACTGTTCATCTAATAAAGCTAACTTATGTAGGTTTCCGAAAGTTGGGTACATTATTATTTAGCCATTATCAATCAAACTTTTCCCATTCAGTAATAATTATCTTATCTCAAGTCAAGTGTTTAAGCTAGTGTACATAAATTAAAGCAGAGGTGAATGGTGGTCATCAGTGAAATCCACGACTCACGTTTCGTCCTATTTGGAACTTATCAGCTTGATAAAACTGCATCCCGAAGTTGATATCCACTCCAGGACTCGGTTCGAACTCCATCGTGTTATCCACTTAGCTACTGACTTCAGATAACCACTAGCTTGTATTTGTGAATTTCTTAATCATTTTTATATTGGTTATCAGTATGGGGTTCTGGAGATTGTTGAGTTTTTGATTGTGATCATAAATAGATCAATGTTAGATCACCATTAAAAACGTTGAAGCTCTGGACGGCCGTTCCGTCCTAGTATGGGACTCCTCAGCAGTGCACGCGATATTCGAACCCAGGACTTTCGATCTCGCATGCGAACCACTGATCCGGCATCTAACGCTGCAAATGTCTAACTTCAACCAATCCACAACATTGTACGACCATCTTCTAATGTCTAAGGTAGATATCTGTCTCTACATTACATGGATTAGATACACTGGTAACGGCTTCTCACTAGAACTCCGAGAATTACTTCTCGAAGCTAATTATCAGTATGGGTTCTTGGGATTGTCGAACTTTCTATTGAGATCATGGATGATGGCTAGCAGTGGAATCGAGGTCGCCCGTTTTGTTCGTCTCTGCTTATGATGCTTGTGACTAGAGGCAATATCGAGGCAATCCGCATAGGATACACATATGCCAACAAGAGACTGATCAATTGAAGTCCTAAACATCAGATTCAAACAAACAATACAAAACTAAATAAGTGTACATAAATAATTAGATTAGATAGTTATCTTAAAAAGAAATGACCACAAAATATTGATGTACCAGTTTCGCCTACTAAATGTATAAAATGCAGATATATATCATAATATTTACATACTAATTTGATAACACAATTGTAATTTACTCACATGGTAACTTTACGAACGCCTTTTTTCGTGGAGATCTCAGTTTTATTAGCTGGAG